TGGGGCTGTCACCTCCCGTGTCCCCACGCCGTGGCCTGGGCCGTGTCCCCGATCTCTTGTCATAACAGCGACTCCGCGCTGTGTCCCCGTGTCACCGTGCCAGCACCGTGACCCCGTGCAGTGGCCGTGTGTGGCCGTGTCACCCTGCCGGGGCCACCATCCTGCCCTGTGGTGTCACCCTGCCGTGGCCACCATCCCGCCCTGTGGCCGTGTCACCATCCCGCCCTGTGGCCGTGTCACCCTGCCGTGGTCACCATCCCGCCCTGTGGCCGTGTCACCCTGCCGTGGCCACCATCCCACCCTGTGGCTTGTCACCCTGCCGTGGCCACCGTCCTGCCTTGTGGCCGTGTCACCCTGCCGTGGTCACCATTCCACCCTGTGGCCGTGTCATCCTGCCGTTGTCACCATCCTGCCCTGTGGCCGTGTCACCCTGCCGTGGCCACCATCCTGCCCTGTGGCTTGTCACCCTGCTGTCCCCTTTGGTCACCGTGCCCGCTGTCGGTGGCCCCAGGGCATTCCCGGCTGTTCCATCGTGCCCAGCCCCATGTCCTGGGGGAAAACCGGGATTTGAGGAGCTGCTCCTGCCATCCCACACTGTCCTGGGACTGTCCCTGTTCCTTGGGGACCGGTGCCATCATGCCCTGGCACCCCTTGGGCAGACCTTCCTTGGGGTCCTGCAGCATTGCCAGGGCAGGGAATGGACCGGCTGCTTTGGGGTCTGGCAGGGACTGAGCTGTGCCTGGCTCCCATCACAAACCTCTGCCCCAAATCCCCCATGCCTAGACTGATTTCCCCATCACCACTAACCCAGAGGCAAAGCTGCAGCTCTTGGCTTTCCTTTCCCACCTGGGGGCTGCTGGGGCTGGTTATGGGGTCACTTGTGGGGTTTTAGGGTCAGCAGTGGTGTCCTGGGGTCACTTAGAGGTTTTGGTGTTCTGGGATCACCAGCGAGGGTTTGTTTGGGGATACTTATGGGTCACTTGTGGGTTACTAATGGGGTTTTAGGATCGCTTATGAGCCACTTACGTGTTGCTATGGGTCTGGGGTCAGTTGTGGGTCACTGATGGGGTTTTGAGGTCTCTTGTAGGGCAGCAAGGCCTGGTTTGAGCAGAACCATGGGGTGGCCCTGGAATGACAGGGCACTGTTGGAGCGCTGGTGGCACTGGGGGACATCACCCCCAGGCTCCTGTCCCTCCTTCCTCCTTGTCCCTGGAGATTGCAGAAGCTCTTAGTGCCAGGTTTGGGGCACATCCGTGGCTGTGCCATGCCAGGCAGGGCCGGGAGTGTTGTCACCGAGTATCGATTGCTCCTTATTGCAGGTTTGACTTGCAGCACCCAGCCCTGGCACATTCCCTGCCCTTCCTGCCTCCTGGCACCTGGCACATCAGAGCCTGTGTCACCCTTTGTCACTCATACACCTCGGCTCTGTCCCCAAATCCAAGCACAGCACCCATGTGGGGATCCAATTCCCACTCCCAGTAAAAAGCTGCATGCAATCCTCATGGCTGGGATTGGGAATGGGGAGCCTGCTGTGCTGCACCCCAAATCCCATGGGGTGGGAGGGGACGTGCTGACAGTGCCACCCCTCAGGGCCCGGCGCTGGTGGCTGCCATGGCTGCGCTCCCTCCTGCTGGCCCCGCTCCTCTCCTGCGCCGCCGTGCCCTTCCTCATCCGCCTCTTCCCCAGCCTGCTCACCAAATTCGTCTACCTGAACTTCCGTGAGTATCCCAACCAGGAGAACCCCCTCAGGCATTCCGCTGGCTGCTGCAGACCCCCCAAATCATGGGTGGCACCGTGCCAGGGTGGCACCGGGACAGTGTTTCTGCCACTCCTGCTGTGCCCTGAGCTGGCAGAGGAGGCACTGAGGGATCTCTCCCCGTGTTTTGCAAGCTCTGAGGGAGGTGGTGCTGCCAACCCTGCAGCCACAACACGCCCGGGCAGGCTCAGCATCTGGAAATTCGGGTGGGAGGAGATGGCAGAGGGCTGAGCTCGTCTGCCTCAGCACGGCCCTTGATAATTTAAATCAAATTACACGCTGATTTAGAAAGAATTGTGTAAAAGCACCTGGCTGGGAGGATTGTGGATGATGGCTGTGATTTCTCCATCAGTGGCCTTCCCTTTCTTCGTGGACTTTCGGCGGCCAGAGCTGCTGGTGAACAACACCATCAACCTGTACCTCACCACCGAGCCGGGCGTCACGGTTGGCATCTGGTGAGCAGGATGGCCTCAGCACCCCCCAGGGGACAGCAGTGTCCTGCTGGAGCCCCCAGGTGACCCCTCTGTCCCCCCAGGCACACAGTGCCGAGCAGCAAAGGGGCCGAGGCGCAGGGCAAGGAGCAGCGCTGGTACGAGGAGGCTCTGGCTGATGCTCACCCTGTGATCATCTACCTGCACGGCAATGGGGGCACCAGGTGAGCTCCTGAGCTGCTGCTGCAGGGCCAGGAGCAGGGCAGGAGGGCTGCTCTGAGGTGAGAAGCAGCACACTCGATGCAGCAGCCTGCCCTGCTTCATGAAGGGCTGCTGCGGAGGTCGCTGACCCCAGCAGTCAAAGGAGAATCCCTGTAAAATAAAGGGAAAAGTCAAAATCCCCCCAGCCCACAGCATCCAGCTCTTCCCTTCTGGGATGAGGTCACCCTGGGTCCTCACCTGTGCTGGTGCTGGAGGGGAGGGTCCCTTGGGGTCTCCCCAGGCTCTAACCCCATTTTCCCCATCAGGGCTGCGAGTCACCGTGTCCAGTTCTTGAAGGTAAGTGGTGGCCTGTGGGGACACTGGGACCTGCTGGGAGTGAGGCTCCTGCTGGTCCTGGGGACCCACAGAGCCCCTGTGCAGAGTGAAGGGGCCATGCCCAGGGGTCCTGGGCTGTGTCCCCTGCCAGGGCATAACTCAGTGCTGCTCTGACAGACCATGGGGGCTGCTGACTTCCACATCCTGGCTCTCGACTACAGAGGTAAAGTTGTCCCCTTGCCTCCTGCTGGCTGATGCCCCTCCTGGGGCCTGTCCCCAGCAGGGTTGTGACACAGTGCTGTGTCCCCCACAGGCTATGGGGACTCCACGGGACGCCCCTCAGAGAGTGGCTTCACCACAGATGTCCTGGCACTCTATGACTGGGTGAAAGCGCGGAGTGGCAACAGCAGCATCCTCTTCTGGGGACACTCCCTGGGGACAGGGTAGGTGCAGGGGGCGGGATGGGGGCACACCAGAGCCCACCCTGTGCCCTGTGACGCTGCTGCCAGACTGGTGCCACCTGGGGATGGACCAAGGGCTTGGAGCAGCTCTTGGTGGAGGCCCCTGCAAAGCCAAACGCAGCCAACGAGGGGGATCTGAGGGAGCTGTGTGGCACTGCTGCCCCTCACTGTCACCTCTCCTGTCACAGGATTGCCACCAACGCAGCGAGGAAACTGCAGGAGGAGCGAGGTAAGGGCCAGCATGGATGGGTTGTCCCCATGCAGTGTCACCCTGGCCTGATTTTGGGGCCGCAGAGGAGATGAGGAGCCCTCCCTATCCTCCCTCCTGGGATGGGGACATCTTGGCCCCACTGCTGCCTGGGAGGGGAGTGTGGCAGCCCCTCAAAGCTGTGCCCACTCCCACCTCACTCTGCCCTCAGGGGTCCAGGTCGATGCTGTTGTCCTGGAGTCTCCCTACACCAACATCCGAGACGCAGCCGCCAACATCCCCATCACCAAGGTGAGCCCGGGGGCTCTGCCCTGGGGTCCCCAGCAGTGCCACCCCCAGCTCCTGGGTGTCCCCCTCACAGCTGGATCCAAGCCACGCTTTAGCACCCCCAAATTCTCTCCCCGCCAGATCTACCGGCAGTTCCCGGGCTTTGAGTACCTGATCCTGGACTCCATGGCTCGGGCTGGAATGTTCTTCAGCAGTGATGAGAAGTGAGTTCCTGGTGGGAAGGGGCACAGCAGACCCCAGGGGCTGTGGGAGTGATGCCAGGACCACCTGGCTGAGGAGAGGTGTTAATCGCCCCGTTGAAATTCCTGCCCTCCTGTGTTTACCCAGCTTACTCATCCTTCAAAAACGACTTTTTATTTGCACAATGTCAGGTACCAGTTTGATTATTGAGCAAAGTCCACAAACCACCATCCTTTTTTTGGCACTCCTGTTCCTTGTAGTACACAGAGCCTACCCAAAATCAGTTTGATTTATGGATGCTTTTGAAACCTGGTGACCATATAATTGTGGGTTAAGGTGATTAGGGTGCTTGGTGCTGCCATGCCAGGGCAAGCAGCATGGGCATCACCCAGGTGGGCATGAGGATGGCTCTGAGGGGCAGTGCTGGGGGGGTCAGGGTGCTGTGGGAATCTTCAGAGGGACTGGGGAGGCTCCTGTTGGCTCTGGGGAGTTTCCTCAGGGCTGTGCTTGCTGCCTACAGCGTGAAGGTGCTGGACTGCCCCCTCCTCATCCTGCACGCAGAAGATGATGGAGTCCTGCCTCCAAAGCTGGGACACAAGGTGGGCGCCTGCCACGGGCTTTGAGCCTGACTTAGGAGGCTGAAGTGGCCAGAGAGGGGATGGCCATGCACCAGGAGGGGTTTGGGGTCCCCTGCTCGTGCAGTAACTGTGCTCCTGCCCCGTGGCAGCTCTACGAGACAGCACTCAAAGCCTACAAGGACAAATCCAAGGTGAAGTTCATTACCTTTCCCCAAAAGCTGGGCTTGGGCCACGATTACATCTCCTTCAACCTGGAGCTGCCTGCCCTGGTGAAGTAAGTGCTGTTCCACAGAAATGGGGGGGGCAGAGGATGAGCCTTGGCCTCGCCTTCCGCTGGTGCCTCCTCTCCTGCTGCCTGCCCCCTGCTCCTTCCCCTCCCCGTGGTGTTTGCTGGCATCACTTTCCAAATTTCAGTCACTGCCCACTGCCCTGAGCCTGTCCTCAGCCGAGGTGGCTCTGGGGACACCAGCTCCTCTTTGCCCTGGTGCAGAGATGCTCCAAGCCCAGCTCAGCCCCGCGTGCAGGGATCACAAATCAGGCTCTTGACACAGCACAGGAGGCTCAGTGACACAGTGTGAGATTTATTACATCTTGTTGCAGAGACTTCTTAAACATGAAGTGATGCCAATTGCTGCCTGCACTGATCCCATGCTCCCTCAAATCCACTCCAGGACCTCCCACAGGGCACTGAACTTACTCCTGTGAGTAATAAAAACTACTGAGAAACTTTTAAGTCACCCTCTGCCTCCAGGATGCTGCAGGTTACTCAAGGGATGGAGACACTGGTGTGGTCTGGGCCACCAGAGCCACAAATGGGAGCATCCCACAGGACACTGGTGGGGTACATGGGCTTGGCACCCCCCTGTGAGGGCCCAGACAGCTGTGTCCAGCTGCATCCAGCTGTGCTGCCCACCCCACCCCTGGCCAGCCCTCTTCCTGCATCAGCATTGCTGGAAGCAAGCCCAACCCTCCAGCAAACAGCTCCTTTGGGACTCCAGCGGCATTTTTTTTTATTTTTAGCACCTAATGCAAGCAACAGGGCGACGTGGGTTTGCTTTCCACACGAAACTTGCGTTATAAAAACCCCTCCCTCCCCTCCTGCCCACCCCTAGGGAAAGCCAGCAGCAGCAGCAGCAGTGACACAGAGACTCAGACAGCAGAGAGAATTTTACAGCGCTGGCGTCCCCTACGCCGCGGTGCCGTTGGGGGTCTTGTCCTGCCCCCCCTCCCGGGGCTCGTTGGGTGGGGGGATCTTCAGGTCCGAGGGCTCCACGTGCCAGATGTCCCGGGCGTACTCCTTGATGGTGCGGTCGCTGGAGAACTTGCCGGCCGCCGCGATGTTCCTGATGACCATCTTGGTCCAGGCCTTGGAGTTCTGCAGGGAATTCACAGAATCACTGGGACCTTCCAGATCATCGAGTCCAACCCAGCCCCAACAGCTCAACTCAACCCTGGCACCCAGTGCCACGTCCAGGCTTTGTTAAACACACCCAGGGATGGAGTCTCCACCACCTCCCCTGGTAGAACATTCCAGAGCTTTATCACCCTTTCCATGAAAAACTTTTTCCTGATATCCAGCTTATATTTCGCTTGAGGCTGTGTCCTCTGCTTCTGCCCGTTCTGGAGAAAGAGCCACTTCAGGAGAATATTGAGAATTATAAGGTCACCCTGAGTCTCCTTTTCTCCAGGCTAAAGGAGAGGGCTGGGGTTGGTCCCAAGGCTGGTTCTCAGCCAGGAATGGCCTGGAATGAGAACCAGCCTCATCCCTGAGAGGGCTGGGGTTGGTCCCAAGGCTGGTTCTCAGCCAGGAATGGCCTGGAATGAGAACCAGCCTCATCTCTGAGCGGGCTGGGGTTGGTCCCAAAGCTGGTTCTAAGCCAGGAATGGCCTGGGATGAGAACCAGCCTCATCCCTGAGCACGTCCCTTCTCGAGGATGGGATGCTGTGTCCCAGCACGGCTCCCTGCCCCGTCCCTGGGCTGGCACTCACCAGGTACAGCTCGCTGACCTTCTCCTGGCACTTGACATAAGCCTCGTAGTCTGCAAAGACTTTAAACCTGCAGCAGTGAAGAAAGGAGGGGTCAAGAGCAGGAGAAATAGGAATGCAGGCTTGCCTGAGCCAAGGCATTATTTTAATACTCTTAAATCCAGGGGTTAAACTTAAGGTTCCTTTACTCTGTTTCTCCAAAGGAGAAATCCCCACCAGATACTCTCAAAGAGGTGAAAATCACACAAAAGTTTACTTGCAAAAACAGAGCAAATTAAGGAAACTTTGGCAAAAAAATACAACACTGAATTCAAAGTAAATACAGCACTGAATTCAATGTAAAACCGCTTATCATAGCAATACTTAACATTAATTTAGTATTAAGCATTTACTTAGAATTTATTTAGCATTTGCTTAGCCCGTTTAACTGGGAAACCTTTAAAACCTTAAGATGTTATGTTAAGCTGCATGAAAGGATTATGAGAAGGAGAGACAGAGAGAGAAAGCTGGAAAAGGTACAGAAAAAACACACAGGTACCAACTCGTGGTGTCCAGCGTGGGTGAGGTAGAAACTCCAAGGAAGATGTCAGGGCAGGACTGGCCATAACGCCCTCAGCCCCTTTTATACCCGTAGCCTTTCATGGCCCCGCCCCTAAGGTGGGATTTCTGGTTGCTCGACCAATCAGAGGCTGGCTAGGGCTGCCTCAGTGTGATTGACTGGCAGCTCGACCAATCAGAGGCTGGGTTAGCACAGCGCCAAATTACCTCTCCCCAAGCCTTGTTGGTAAAGAAGCCTGGATGCCCTGGGAGGGAAATGCAGGGAAAGCTTTTCTCCAATCCCAATGCCCATGGCTGATCAGTGCTCTGCCCAGGAAAGCCCCTGAGATGCCTCAAATCCTCGGTAAGGGCTGTGCACCCAAAGGCATTAATGTGACAATGGCGAGTCCATGCCTGAGGAGCATCATCCATGTGCAACCACGGTCCCAGCCCGGTACCTCACCTGTCGTGGTGGAAGAGCATGTTGACCACGTCGTTGAAGAGGTTGGGGTCTTTTGGGGAGAAGAAGCCACTTTTAATCTGGTCAACAGCCTGTTTCAGCTCGGGGAGCCGGTCGTAGTAGAGCTGGGCGTTGTACCTGAGGGAAGGAGGCCATCAAACGGTGCTGCCGCAGGTACCTGAGGTGGCAGCCCTGTGGCATCGCCAGCCCTCACCCTTTCCTGTCCAGCTCTGTGACATCCTCCACCCTCATGCCAAAGATGAAGAGGTTTTCCTCTCCAGCCTCCTCGGCCATCTCCACGTTGGCTCCATCCATGGTGCCGATGGTCAGAGCCCCGTTCAGCATGAACTTCATGTTGCCCGTTCCCGAGGCCTCGGTGCCCGCTGTGGAGATCTGCTCCGACAGGTCGGTCGCAGGGATCACTGCCAACAAAACACACGGACACGAGGGGCTCGTGGTGACCAGCTTTGGGTTTGTTTCTGCTGAAGGACCACGGTGGGAGACACCAGATGGAGGGACACCCCCTCCCCACAGCGTGTCCCACCCAGGGTACCTTTCTCTGCCAGGGACACCCTGTAGTTCTCCAGGAAGATGACCTTCAGCTTGCTGCCCACCACGGGGTCGTTGTTCACCACCTGAGCCACGGCGTTAATGAGCTTGATGATCATTTTAGCCATGTGGTATCCTGGGGCAGCCTGGGAGAAAAGCCACGGGTGAGGCACACCCTGCTCCCAGCGTCCAGGGAACACCCTGTTCATCCCTGTTCCCGTTACCTCATCCAACACGGGTTACACCACAACATTTCTGGGGGCTTCCATGAGCACAGACACAGATGGTTGTCCAAACCCCACCCAAACTTGCTTGTGTTGAAACATCAGTGCTACTCCAGTGTTTCTTGGACAACTTCATGGACTTAGCACCATGGAATCATGGAATTGTTTAAGTTGGAAAAGCCCTCGAATCCAACCATTCCCCCAGCACTGTCAAGGTCACCACTGACCCACGTTCCCAGGCTCCACATCCACATGTCTTTTAAGTTCCTCCAGGAATGAGGACTCCACCACTGCCCTGGGCAGCTGTTCCAATGCCTGACCACCCTTTTGATGATGAAATTTTTCTTAATATCCCATCTAAACCTCCCTTGACACAGCTTGAGGCTGTTTCCTCTGTCATGTCCATCGTTTGTTGGGAGAAGAGCCCAATCCCTGCCAACTGCACCCTCCTGTCAGGGAGTCGTAGAGACGTGGCCCCATGAGACATCTGCTCCCACATCCCCCACAAGGATTTCCCCAAGATCTCTACAACTCCTGACCCAACTTACCTTGCCTCCAATGATCACTGTCCTGGGCACAAACAGCTTTGCAGGATCCCTCCTGATTCCTGGAGGAAACAGCAGTGTTACTGAGGGATGTGGGGCACAGGGATGCTGCTGCAGCCCTGGGACACCCCGTCCCCTCGGGCTTACGGTTGTACATGGTGATGATGTGCAGGCAGTTCATCAGCTGCCGCTTGTACTCGTGGATCCTCTTCACGTGCACGTCGAACATGGAGGAAGGGTTGATCTTCACCTCGTATTCCTTCTCCAGGTACAGTGCGAACTTCACCTTGTTCTCCTGGGCCAGACAGGGGCCGTGTCAGCCCTCAGGCACCACCAGCCCCTGCTCTCGGCTCCCCCTGCCCACGCCCCTCACCTGCTTCACTTTGGCCACCTCCCGGATGAAGAGGTCGTCGTCCACAAACTTGTGCAGCTTGGTCAGCTGGCTCAGGTCCCGCACGTAGTCCTCCCCGATTTTCTGCAACGGGAGCAAGGTGGTGAATGGGAATTCCCATGCTGATGGTGCCATAGTTTGGGTTGGAAGAGATCTTGAACATCATCCAGTTCCACCCCTTGCCATGGGCAGGGACAACTTCCACTATCAGAGGTTGCTCCAAGCCCTGTCCAACCTGGCCTTGGATATTTCCAGGGATCCAGGGGCAGCCACAGCTTCTCTGGGTACCCTGTGCCAGGGCCTCACCATCCTTACAGGGAACGATTTCTTTCCAATATCCCATCTAACCCTGTCCTCTGTCAGTTTACATCCATTCTTCCTTCTCCTGTCACTCCATCCCTTTTCCCAAGTCCCTCTCCAGCTCTCCTGGAGTCCCTCTAGACACTTGAAGGGGCTCTAAGGTCTCCCTGAAGCCTTCTCCATGCTGAATACTCCCAGGTAGGCAGAGTCAGCAGCATCTCCATGCCTCCTTGGAATTGTTCCAGCACCTCCACATCCTTCTGCTGTTGGAGAGCCCAGGGCACCCGAGCGGAGCAGAGGGGCAGCATCCCCTCCCTTGACCCTCAACTCAAGCATCCAGCAGATGGGAAGGTTGAGGCTCTCAGGGCTGAGCAGGGAGGGGTCGGTGGCCGCAGCGCCCGCCCCGGTGCCGGTACCTCCGCGATGAGCTCCGCCAGCCCCGGGTTGCAGAGCAGGAGCCAGCGCCGCGGCGTGATCCCGTTGGTCTTGTTCTGGAACTTCTCCGGCTCCAGCGCCGCGAAATCCTCGAATCTGCGAGGGCGAGGATGGCCCAGCTCCAGCCTCGCCCACCCGGCACCACCACCAGCACCCCTTCCCAGGCGAGGGGCACCCATCAGCACCTCCCACCCTCACTCACACTTGAGTCCTGACGATCTCGGAGTGGATCTTGGCCACGCCGTTGACGGCGTGGGAGCCCACGATGCAGAGATGGGCCATGTTGATCCTCTTGGTGTCCCCCTCCTCGATCAGGGACATCCTCCGCAGCCGGTCCACGTCGTTGGGGAACAGGGACGCGATGTGCTGCCGGTGGAGCCGGGGAGGTGGTGAGAGGTGCTGGTGCTGAGGGATGTCCCACCCCACGGCTTACGAGGAGGGGTGTGGCAATGTCCCCAGGGCACCTGACACCAGCCAGAGCGGTGGCTTTTACTCTGTTGTGGTGTGTAAACTCCCTCCAAAGGGAGCCCTGTCTCTGGACAGAAGGATTCCCCCCCAAGCTGCCACACAGAGGGGTTTGGGGGTACACACTTGGCCAGTGAGGCCATCTTGGCCAAAGCCTTGTGCTGCCAGACCAGGAGGTCAAACCACCATCTTCTCTGCACTCCCAGCATCATCTTTCCCAGGATGAATTTAGCACTTAGGAAGTAAAGAAATGCCAGCTCTGATGTCCCTCTCAACAGTCAGTAACTGCAGGATGGCAATGTGCTGGTGGGAAATTCCCAAAACAGCACTGGAATCCCCCAGCCACACACCCAACACCATCAGTTTGTGCATGCCCCTCATCCTGACAGTACATCCCTGTCCCCTCTCTGGAGCAGGCTCCCAGGCACTCACATCCAGGTGTCTCTGGTTGATCTCATAGATGATCTGCAGGTGCCTGGGGAGCAGCATCTCCACCAGATCCACGGGCCAGCGCTCCAGGGCCTCGGGAAGCACCGTGTGGTTGGTGTAGGCAAAGGTCCTTTTGGTGATGTCCCAGGCCTGGCAGGGAAGAGCCGTGCTCAGTCACACCTCACGTGCCAGAACCCACCCTTGGTCCTCTCACCACGCTCAGCAGCACAGCCCAGCCAGCTCCTCCCAGTCCACACCAGTTAAACCCAGCCTGACTGCTCCACATCAGTCCCAGCAGCCACAAAACCCACTCCTCCACCATGGGTGCAAGTGCAGGAGACCAGGTGGGGTGTCCCTACCTTATCCCACGGCAGCTTCTCGATGTCCACGAAAATCCTCATCAGCTCAGGGATGGCCATGGCAGGGTGTGTGTCATTCAGCTGGATGGCAACCTGGGAGAGCAGGGTGGCACGTGGGGACACAGCGGGGACACCGGGAACCCCACGGAGGTCCCACAAACATCTTCATCCTCTGGGAGGTGTTGAAACAAGCTCCAAGGCAGAGGTGAGAGCAGCCCTGGCTCGTACCTGGTCCGGGAAGGAATCAAACACGGTCCGGACGCTGTCCGTGCTCCCGAATTTGGATGCTTTGAAGCGGCGGATGATGTCCTGGAGGGTGGCAGCCACGACAAAGTACTCCTGCTTCAGCCTCAGCTCCTTTCCTTCAAAAAACTGTGGGCAGAGGAGCAGGGAACTGCAGGATTCCCACAGGGGAAGGTTTTCCCAGTGTGTGACCCCTCTGTGCTTCCCCCAGTTGGAACCCCAAGCTCTTCTTGCTTCCCAGATTCCAGCACGAGGGTTTGGGATGTGCTGGCACAAACAGTTTAAATCCCATCTGAGCATTGTCAAAATCTGTTATCCGTGGTTTGAACTTTTTGGCTGCAAGGAAAGTTACCAGGACCAGGAAGGGAAGCCCTGGGAGCTGTTTTCAAGACAAGGATTTCGCCACCATTCATGCAGCAAAAACCATCAACCTGGCTGGTCTGCGAAGGAAAAGCTGCAGGAGACAACCTCACCCAGCTCTCCTCACCAGCTGGGAAGGCTGGAGGAGGATTAAGTGGGAAAAACACCATCAGGACCTGCCTCAAATAGGCTGAACAGCAAGGAGATCTTCCCTTTCTTTCTTTTTTTTTTTTTTTTTTTTTTGTTCCCTGCTCCATGGCTTGGTTTGTGGCTAGGGAAGGGTTGTGTGTCCCACCACACCTCTATGCCAGCTTGGCAGGAACTCCCAGAGCAAGATGTGAGGCACAACCTCTGCTCCCAGGGTTGCAAAGGGCCACCAGGGTGACACCAGCAGCGTTCAGCAGTTGGCTTTTACGTTATATTCTGAGATTCAAAGAATATTTCTGCAGCAGGGCCTGCAGCACCCTGGAGTGAGGGGCTGCTCCCTTTCCCCCTCCACCTGGACACTTTATCCATCCCTAAAACGGACAGTAAAAACACCAGGACTCACGTTGTCGTTGGGGTAGAGCACCCTGGAGATGTTCTCCGCCAGGTTCCTGTCCAGCACGGCCTGGATGTAGTCCCCAACATTGACTGGGGAGCAGCAGAGGGGTGAGGTGGGCATGGTGGGACCATGGTGGGACCCCCTGAGCTCTCCCCACCCGCCCAGCTCCCACTTACAGTCGCGCAGGTTGAAGTCGTTGGGCGCGCGGGCCGACCACAGCCGCATGGTGTTGACGGTGTTGTTCATGTACCCGGGCACGGGCGTGTCGTAGGGCAGTGCCAGCACCACCTGTGACATGCCCAGGGCAGCTGGGATGGGGCTGGGATCCCCCCGTGCTCCCCCCAAAGCCCTCCCATCCCACAGAGCTCCTGCTCAGGGCTGAGCTCGGGGTGGTGTCCCTGCAGGGGTGGGGGTGTCCTTGGTACCCCTGCATGGGGATGCCCCTCTGGCTCTGCCTGCTGGTGCTCAGTGCATGGAGAGGTGCTTGTAAAGGTCAGGAGCAGCTTAATTTAGGTTTAATTAATTCCTGCTGGAGCTGCTTTTGGTATTTTGTAGAATCGCAGAATGGTTTGGGTCGGAAGGGACCTTAAAGTCCATCTTGTTCCAACCCCCTGCCATGGGCAGGGACACTTCCCACTAGACCAGATTCCTCCAAGCTCCATCCAACCTGGCCTTGGACACTTCCAGGGATGGAGAGCTCAGCTGCAGATGTGGAGCAGCCAAATCCATCCTCATCCCCGTGTCCATCTCCTCCCCACCGCTGCCTTTTCCACCCCAGCCCAAGAGATTCTGCAGGACTCATCCCTGGGCTGCAGCCAGCCAGGGAGAGCCCCCCAGATGACAGGAGAAGCCATGCAAGGGACATTCCTGTCCCCAGCCCTTACCTGGGTGTCGATCCACTTGGCACCAGAGGCAGAGTGCTCCACGCGGCCGTAGAAGTGCACGGGCAGCATGTACTCGGGACGGGCCTTCTCCCAGGGATTGCCGTGCCGGAGCCAGTCATCAGCTTCCTCCACCTGCCACAGGGAGCCAGAGCAGGGACAGGGTCACCCAGCCCTGGGGACCTCCCCTCCTGCAGCATGGCTGGGAAAGGCTCTGCTCATGGCACTCAGAGGATGCTCTGAGTGTGCCCACCCTAAACCTGGATTTTGGCTCAGCCTGGAGGCACCACCCTGACTCTGGGGTGTCTGTGCCTTCCATGGGGATGGGACAAAGCCAAGGTGCACTGCTAATGTCGCATTTCCAAACCAGCCTCTTCCACAACAACACAACTGCTCTGTCCTCACCTGCTCCAGGCAGCCACGGAGCAGCTCTTGGGGTGGCCCTGAGCAAGGCCACCCTTGGCCTTGGGACAGGGGATGGAGCTGTGAGCTTGCACTGGTTGAAGAAGTTACATTTGTTCATGAAAATTATCTGTTAAATTTTAACTATCACAGCAGCAGCCTCTGAGCTGAGGGGAAGGGTCTGTACCCCCCAGTCTAAGGGGGAGGAGGTGAATGTGGGGTTCCAGTTGTGCCAGAGTGCTGGAACCCAAAATGTCCCTCAGACATTTCTGGAGGTTCCAGGCCCTGGTCAGAAGCATTTGAGACCCTGGCAAGCAGCTGGAAACAGCTGTGATTTTGGGTTTGAGCCATGGGATGAGTTACCAACCTTGCAGGGAGAACAAGAAGTCACAAAAGTTTAGATATTAGAGTAGAAATAGTTACAAAGTAGAGGGGAAAATTTTTTAGTATTGTACAGGGGGGGTTTAACACCTGTACAGGGGGGTTTTACTCTGTACATGGGGGTCAGAAGTTTTAAGATGGAGGAATGTAGGCAGATCCTGTTCCTCCTCTTTCTCCTTCCTCACCTCCATGTGCTTGGTGATGTTGGCACTCACAGATTGGTTTAGAGTAGAAAAGCACCATTTAATATAGGTAATAGGCATTGGGGAAAAACTGTGACCATGTAACACGTAATGTACCATATAAAAGATAGAAAAGCACCATTTAATATAGGTAATGGGCATTGGGGACAAACTGTACCCATGTAACACGTAATGTACCATATAAAAGATAGAAAAGCACCATTTAATATAGGTAATGGGCACTGGGGAAAAACTATAAATATTTATCATGTGATGTGCCATATAAAAGATAGAAAAGCACCATTTAATATAGGTAATAGGCATTGGTGAAAAACTGTACCCATGTAACACGTAATGTACCATATAAAAGACAGCAGCAGCCCTGGGCAGAGGGGGAGAGAAGAAGCAGTCGGGAGTCAGAGAGGATGTCAGGGTGTGTGTGTGCCTCTGCCTGAGCTGTGAGCAAACCACAGCAGCCCCAGAAGAAAATCTTTTAGATAATTTGCAATAAACTGCCTTGAGACTGAACAACAAGAGGCTGCAGAGTTTTTCTATGGAAGCTCAAAGTTGGAGGAGAGACTTTTCCACCACACAGAGCCCCTGACCCAGGCTGGGGTTCCCACACCAGAGGACAATGAGGACCCCACATCTCCACCCATACCTGCCACCCATCCCGGATCTTCTGGTTGAAGATGCCGTACTCGTAGCGGATGCCGTAGCCGTAGGCTGCCAGCCCCAGCGTGGCCATGGAGTCCAGGAAGCAGGCTGCCCAGGAGAGAGCAGAGCAGTGAGCTGGGCCCTCCTTGCAGCCCTGGGAGATGGATCCTTCTCCCTGGGACAGCCCCAAGCCCCACAGGGACGGGAGCTGAGGCCAGCAGCCACCCATCCCCTTGTCTGTGGATGTAAAGCCCTCAGGGATGTGCTCACCACCTGGGGTGTCACTCACCTGCCAGCCTGCCCAGACCCCCGTTGCCCAGCCCAGCATCCTCCTCGATTTCCTCCAGCTCTTCCATGTCCAGCCCGAGCTACAGATGGGAAGAAGGAGAGGGGCTGGAGATGGTCAGGGTGCCCAGCCCCACAGAGGGGAGGCATTGTTAGCACACAATCCCTTGCAGGTGGGCTCCAGGAGGGCTGGAAAGGCACCCAATTCCACAAGACCCATCTCTGCAGGTGGGACACTGTGATTTGAACCCAAAGCAGCTGCTCTCCCCCTCAGCTGTGTCTCTCTGCCACGGCAGGGGCCATCTCTCATGTTTAAAGTCTCTCTACCAGGCTTTACAAGGAACATTCAGACCCTTGACCTCCCCATGGGCAAGATCTGGGGATGGGGGGCACCAAACTATAACCAGGGTGCTGCCCTTGGGGTTCCAGACACTTCCAAGGGCTCTGAGAGCTCATTCCCAGGCCTGCTCCCTCTCTCCATGGCTGCAGGGGCAGGCACCAGGTTCCTGTTCCAGAACCCCCCACCCCCTGAGGCAGCTACTGAGGTGGAATATTCCTGCACCCCCAGCACTCCTATTCCCTGGGGGAAGGCACCTGGATGCCCTCCTGCTCCCCCAGCACCCCAATCCCTTGGGGACAGGATCCAAGTGCTGTGTTCCTGCTCCCCCAGCACCTCCATCCTCTGGAACAGGCACCCAGCTGCCCTTCCTCCCAGCTGCAGGCATCACCCTTTAGGGTGAGAAGCATCTACACCCCTTTTCCAGGGAAATTTAAATTTTCCAGCCCAGGATGCTGTAGGAGGAAGTGGTTTTGCCTATGCAAAACTCCTTGGGAAACTCAGCTGGAGACCTTTGGCCCATTGCCCTGCCCTGATGTCCCCTGGTAGGGGGATAAAAAATTTACCCCCCCCCAAAAAATAAGTTCCTCTCCTTTGTAGTGTTTGCACAAAAGCTGTTCCTGCTCTTGTGCAACCACCCTGGCCACATCTGATGACGCTGAACACAAGAGGTGACAGGCTGAGGACAAAAGGAGCCACCCAAAACCCTTTGATAACCCCAGTGCCAGCACCCAGCTGGGCTTAACTCAAGGTTTAATTCCTCCCTGCCACTGATCATGGACATGAACAGCCTCATCCACAGAACCACCAGTGTCCTTCCAGGATCCTGCTGCATTCCCCAGGACACAGCTGGGCAGCTCCTGGCCTTTCAAGGCAGGTTTTGGAGCAGCCTTTATTCCCCAAGCCATTCCCTGTGCCTCAGGGAGCAGTCTGCAGCCAATGCAGCAAAAAACTGACACTCCCAGGAGCTGGAAAACACGGATTCCTCCCTGGAAAACACGGATCCCTCCCTGTGCAGTCCTCACCCTCGTGGGATGCTCACCTGGTAGACAGCCTCGTCACAGGCGTTCTGCAGCCCCAAATTAATCATCGTGTTCTGCAGCGTCCGCCCCATGTAGAATTCCAGGGAGAGGTAATAAATCCTCTGGAAGAGAAAAGCACACCGTGGTCACCTTTCCCAGGACTGGGGGATGCTCCCCTGGAGCTATTGTGTGATATCTCAAAAACAAACACGGGAAAAAGCCAGCAGGGTGGTTTGCACCAGGAATTTCAGGTTTGTGGTTCCTGGGTGGCCCTGCAGCCCCTGCCCTGCTCTCCTGCCCTTTCCCAAACCGGGATGAGGCTGTTTCCTTTGGAGAAGCCTCAATGCCCTGTCCCAGGGTGGGGACAGCTCCAGGATGGTCACTGGTGGCAGCTCGGAGTTAAATTTTAAAGAGGAGACGTTGCTCCAGTCACTCCGGGCTGCAAAGCCACCGGAAAACCGAGCCAGCGGTGGCTGTGGGGACATGGGGCTTCCTCTGCTGTCCCCATGGGGACACCGCCACTGATCCTGTGTAAGCCGAGCCCCGGAGTCAGCACCGGCAGGTTTTAAGGAAGGATTTAGGCTGGGGGAAGTCGCTGACTCCACAGGTTTCCCCAGGACCTGCGCGGGGTCGGGTGGGGAATGGAGGTGGGAGAGAATCCTGGAGTCCTAAAATGGGATGGGTTGGGTGAGACCACCAAGATCTCCTCTCTCCAACGCTCCTGTCACGGGCAGGATGTGCTGGGCAGGATCCACTGGGATTGAGGGGTTTGACTCCAGGCAAAGTCCCAACCCCAAACCCTGCAAGAGGCTCCTTTTTCTCCCCCTACACAACACCGGGCAGCGCTGAGCCATGGCTGGCACGGCCCCAGCGAGGTGCTGCCAGGGAGGAAATTGATGGCGACAGGGACATCCAGGTGTCAGGAGGGGGATTAGGGCTTAATCCCCCCGCGGCAGAGCCCGGAGCAAACCAGCGGGACGAGCAGCAGCTCCTGCACAAACCGGATCTCTCACGCTTGGCATCACTGGCGTTAAACAAGACCTGTTTGCGGCTGGTTTCGGGTGCCTTTAAGCCTTTCCAATAATTCCCCCGGGAAGGTTTGGAGTTGGTTTTGGTAGGAAACGTTGTTCCCATGCCCTGCACCCCGCTGCCGGCCAAGCCGGGCTCTGTTTGTTTTGCAGAGCAAAGGACAGTGGCCTCGCTTGGTAAAGTCCAGTCCCTCCTCTCGGAAAAGTTACCGGAACAAGCCTAAATCCACGAAAAAACTCGCCAATCCCTCTATTCCAGCGGGGATCACATCCACGGGGTTCCCACACAACCCAGCACCCAGCGTGGGGTGCTCCCAGCACCCAGGGGCTCCCCCATATCCCACCGCTCCCACCTTGGGATCCTTCTCGTAGTAGTACTGCTGCGTGCGGATCCAGCGCCCCACCAGGTGGTCCCGCACGGTGTGGGCCAGCGCGAAGTAATAATCGCGTGGGGTGGCCACGTTGCGGTCCTTGACCAGCGTGAAGTGCAGGTGCCGGTTGAAGCCCCGCTTCAGCTCGGCCACGTTCTCCACGCCCACGATGCCGCGGATGCTGATCTGCTTCCGCCGCTCCTGGTCCGACAGCGGCCGCGACATCGCGGCGGGGCTGCGGGGACACACGGACACGCGGGTTGGGGACACACGGACACACGGACACACGGGCCACCCTCCGCCGCCGCGTTCCGCCTCCGCCCCGCGCTGGCACCGCCCCGGCACGGGACGCGCTGGGGACGGGGACGGGCCCCGCCAAGGGCCGCCCACGCGTGGGGCGGGACGGGGGGACAAAGGGGGGACCCCGAGGATGGACAGAGCGGGGCGAAAAGAGGGGGAAACCCGGGGAAAGACGGAGAGAAGTGCGAAGGGGGGACTCCAGAAAGGTGGCCGGGGTTGGGTGTGCAAAAGGGGGACCCCGAGGGTCACGGAGGAGCGTGGCGAGGGAGGGGACCCCGATATGGACAGAGGGGTGGGCAAAAGATGGGAAGAACTCGCAGGGGCACAGAGGGGGTTGTGAAGGAGGGGATGCGGGGGTCTCAGAGGGATGTGCAAAAAGGGGATGTGCAAAGGGGGGGGGGGTGTCGCCCCTCGGTGCTTCCCCACGCAGCGCCCGCCCCACGCGGGGCCCTGCCCCGCCTCCCCGCAGCACGTACGGGGAAGGTGCAGCCCGCCGGGCCCGCAGGGAAAGCCCGGAAAGGGTCGCGATGTGTCCCCCCGTGTCCCGCCCATCCCCACGCGTGTCGCGGTCCCATCGCTGCGTTACGCTCCTCTCCCCGTGTCACGGCCCCTTCCTGCCCGGCTGTCCCCCGCCCTTCCCCGCAGCATTTCCCGGCCCTCTCCCTTTCCCCCGGCTCCTCACTGTTCTGTGCCTGCCCGCAATCCCGCTGGGAATGCCGTGGGGTGGCTTTTCCCCGGCTGCCCGCAGGACCCTGCCCTTCCCTGCCTCCGCTTCCTCCCGAGGGCAAAAATATCCCATGGGAGCTTCCAACGCAACACTTTCTCCTCCCCCTCCTCCTCCTCCTCCTCCTCCAGCCATGGCCTCGCAGGTTTTCCAGGATGTTTTCCCAGCAGGGTGGGCAGCAAGGCAAGGAAATGGGATTGTGCTGCTCTGCCCTGCTCAGGTGAGACCCCACCTGCAGTGCTGCATCCAGCCCTGGGGTCCAGCATCAGAAGGATGTGGAGCTGCTGGAGAGAGTCCAGAGGATGCTCCGAGGGCTGGAGCCCAGGCTGGGAGTGTTCACCAGGCAGAGAGAATCTCCAGGGAGAGTGCAGAGCCCCTTGCAGGGCCTAAAGGGGCTCCAGGAGAGCTGGAGAGGGATTTTGGATGAAGACCTGGAGTGACAGGATGGGGAAATGGCTTCACAGTGCCAGTGGGCAGGACTAGATTAGATTAGATTAGATCCATGCAGAGGCTTCCACCCAGAGAGTAACAGAATCACAGAATCATGGAATGGTTTGGGTTGGAAAGGAGCTTAAAGATCATCTAGTTCCACCCACTGAAAGGGCAAGGACACCTTCCACCAGCCCAGGCTGCTCCAAGCCCTGTCCAGCCTGGCCTTGGACACTTCCAGGAATGGGGCAGCTACAGGGCAACCGGTGCCAAGGCCTCACCACCCTCACAAGGAAGAATTTCTTCCCAATACCTCATCGAAATCTCTCCTGTGTCAGTATAAAACCATTCCCCCTTGTCCCACTGCCACAGATGCTCTGGCCCTGGGCTGTTCCCTGTGCTGTACACGACTTACAGGCTGGTTTTACATGCTGCAGGGAAGATGCAGTTTCCTGTATCTCCGGTGTTCTGGGCACATTCCCACTCTGGAAGGAACAAACATCCTTCTGAGATGCACTTCACCCATTAGCATTTTCTTCTTTAGCCCTGGACTCGAGCCCGGGATGAGCTCAGAGGCTGCACATTGAAAACTCTCCTGAGTCACTCTGGGAAAACAGAGCAGGCACTGATATCCCAGCAGCGAGTCCTTCTCACGGCCCTGGGAGAACTGTCCCTGCTGTTCCCTTGGAAATGGCTCCCCCTCCACTGCTCTGTTCCAGATAGATATTATAATATTGGCTTTTCGCAAATACTAACATGGATTTTTTATGTGTGGTGTTAAAGTAACTTTGTTGTATAATTTTTCCTTCTGTTGTTAATTAAGCTTAGTGAAATAGCTGATATCAGTGTGCTTGTGTTAAAATGCCTGCTTGGATGGGATAACAGGATGAGGACGCCTGTACAGATCTGCCAACCATCAATTCCCACTGTCTGAAGAAAGTGAACCAAGGCCCAAACTAGAAGTGGTAAAGAGGAGCCAAAACCACAGCCAAGAAACAGCCATGCTCTAAAAAGGCAGACCCAAGGAGGGGCAATGTAAAATAGTTCCTGGAATATGTAAAATAGTTTATGGATATACACAAGGGCCTGTGAATATGCAACAGACTGATGTAAGGGAAAAGGTATTTAAGGGGTATTCCCGAAGTGAAGGTGTGCTCTCGGCCAAGATGCACCCAGCCAACAACTCTTGCTCTGTGGTCCTTGTCTCCTATTGTCCTTTATTAAACTTTTTACATTGTCACAGCAGAGTGAACATGTTTTTCATGGATCCCTTAGAATTTTGCCTCTATTTCATCTCCCAGGGAAGATGGTGCTCTGTACCCAGCCTTGGTCATTCCTCCCTCCTTCCAGGGATGGGGCAGCCACAGCTTCTCTGGGCAACCAGTGCCAGGGCCTGCCCACCATCGCAGCCAAGAATTCCTTCTTCCAGCAGCTCCCACGGTCCCGTCCCTCCCTCCCGAGTTCTGTTTGTTCTGTGCTGCTGTCTCTGGCCAAGGGCAGGGAGGGACGTGCCCCAGGAGGGATGGGATGGGAAGCGAAGCACAGAGATGTTCTGGCAGCTCTGCCTTTCTCTGGTAAAAGTCCTTTATTAGAACGGCAAACATGACACTTCTCGTCAGTACAGCGGCTGTGTGCAGCTACCATCGCGCAACGGGGGGGACGACGTCTTACGATCACTGGGACTCTAAGAAGCACCATGAACACCCTAAAGAACGGGGGATGAGGGCTGAGAGAGGAGCCCCGGGTGAGCCGGCCACGGGGGCTCCTCAGGGTTCCACCAAGCAGCTGCCCGGCGTTGTCCCGCAACACGGCTGCGAGCAACTCCTCGGCGGGAGTCAACGAGATAGCACCCATCCAATAAATTAGGAAAACTTAATGCTGGAGCGACAAGGGGATGAACGGGACTGTCCTAGAGGAGGGAACGGGCTATTTACACTTGTCTTTCTGCTGGGCCGGTGCTCCCGTCGCATCCCAGCCGGATCCCGCTGCCTGGACCGTGAAGCCAAGCGAGGGGACGCGAGTGGACTCTCGGCTCGGCGACGGGGCTGGCACCGTTCCTCTCCTGCCTCTGGATTACCAGCAAGTCAAGCAGGGGATGCTGCCGGCAGCAGCGCGTGTTCCTGAGTGCGTGGCGGGGCTGTGGGCAGCTCTCCTTCGTCCCCATCCCATCCCATCCCATCCCATCCCATCCCATCCCATCCCATCCCATCCCATCCCATCCCATCCCCACCCCCGGGCAGACCCTTGCTGCAGAATGATTCTCCGGTGATTGGAAGGACACTATCAGTTGAATTTAAGGCTAGATTTTATATGGCAACTATAAAAAAATAAACACTAATCTCCAAAGAGCCGGGCGAGGGCTCTCCGGTCTATGGCTGTGGTGTGTGTGGGGGCCCCATGGGCATTCGGCACCCCACCAAGGGGCTGCCACCACCCCATAGAGGCGCCCCAGGGGGACATGGGACACAGTGGGGTGATTTGGTAGGGACATGGAGACTGACTGGTAATCCAGGACCCACCTCTACACGTGACCGAGGGTGCTCTGCAAGAAAGGCCACAGGGGAAAGAAATAATCCTGCAAAGTAACCAGGCTGGCGTGGGCGGAAGCGTTCCCGTGGTGGGGTCCCTGGGGCTGGCCCCACAGGAGGGGAAAGTGAGACAGAACTGCCCCCCCCTTCAAAACCCCAACTCAAATCAGGAAAACCAAACCTAAAAGCGGACACAGGAGAACAGCTCAGGCTACCTAGGTACTTCATCAGCCAAGGAGAGCTAAAGAGCGAAGCGCACACACATGGGACAGCGCGGAGGCCGGAGAGCGGCCCAAAGCCAGGATCTTCCTTCCTGATTTGCTTCCCCACCTCTGGCCAGGGGCCAAACAGGGACCTGGCAGCTGGGCAGGGACCTGGCAGCTGGGCAGGCTGGCCTTGTCCTGCAGCAGGGAACAGGCTGGCTCCTCTCACCCCGAGAAGAGGCAGCCGGCTCCGGGAGCATCCTCAGGGCATGGCCGAGCGCGAAGCGTAGAACTCGGGCACGGGCAGCCCGGTGTGCAGCGTCACCTGCAAGGAGAGACACGGGGCTCAGCTGTGTCCCAGTGTGCTGCTGGGACAGCTCGTGGCATGGCAGCTGGCACACTGTCCCCAGAGAGGGCAGGAGCAGCCTGGGACAGGCAGGATGTGACCAGAGATGCAGGTGTCCCCTGAAGTGTGGCAGTGGCTCCATTCTGGCTTGTTCCTCACTTTTCTGTGCTGCTGGAGTGAGCTGGGACTGCTGGTTCCAAGCCCCAAATATTCCCAGCTGGCTGTGTACAAATCCCACAGCTGCCTGAGAGGTGGGTCTTTGTGCAGGTGAGATGGACAAGAGGGGATGGGGGGATCTGAGGGACAGTGAAGACATAAGAGGAGATCTCGGAGAAGCCCCTGAGCTGCGTGGGGATGGGGACAGAGAGGGGACAGGGACAGTGGAGGATGTGGCTGATTGCTGGTAGGATGAAGGAGCTTGGTGGTGGGGAAGGACAGGCCCATGCTCGCACAGGCACTGCTGAAATTCAGATCCCTCCACAAATGCTTTCATCTGGGAGGAGAGCACAATTCCTCCTTTTATTGCAGCAGCAGCATTTCCCCCTTCAAATACAGATTTCAAGAAAACTGTCTAAAATACACTGATTTCCCTCCTAATTAGAGTTGTTTTCAATTAGGCATATACCTCTGAAGAAGCATAATAAATGGCTTGGCTTAATTAGCAGCCTTTTATCAGCATCCCACGGGATTTCTGTGTTGTCAGGGGATTTAGGCTCTGCCTTGCCCAAGGAACTCCCAAAGCCAAGGGGCCCCAGAGATGCCTTGTCCCTCATGGCTGTGTGGGGGACTGAGGTAGGAGTTAAACCCAGCACACAGCAGGACATTTCTATCACACCAAACCCAGCATAGACAACATGGGCTTCGTTAGTGTTTTCCAATTAAACATTTCCCAGCCCTTCTCCAAGCCAGACAGACTCCTCTGCCGGTGAGACCCTTGGGATGGGAAAATTTGGCAAAGATGCTCCCAAAATTTGAGCTGGTCCCAACACACCTTTGTCCCAGTGCTGCTAGAAAATTGTCACTGCTTTGGTGACAATGCAGCAAGCCCTGGATCCTGATGGATACAGCACAGCATGTCCTAATCCATGCATCCCGAATTTGCAGAGGCCACTTGGTGCCTCTGCCCTTGCACAGAGGTGATCATAAAATCCTAGAGTGGTTTGGGTTGGAAGTGACCTCAAAACCCATCCCAGGCTGCTCCAAGCCCTGTCCAGGCTGGCCTTGGGCACTGCCAGGGATCCAGGGGCAGCCAGAGATGCTCTGGGCACCCTGTGCCAGCCCCTCCCTACCCTCCCAGCCAGGAATTCCTTCCCAATATCCCATCTCTTCCTGCCCTCTGGCAGTGGGAAGCCATTCCCTGTGTCCTGTCACTCCAGGCTCTGTTCCAAAGTCCCTCTCCAGGTTTGACACCCACTGAAGAAGACCCTGCCAAAATGCTCAGCACCCTGAGATGATCCACGACGTGCAACGTGTCCCTGGATGTGCCTGGGCAGGGTGGGAGGTGCAGGCAGTGGCAGGGGGGTGTGCCAAAGCCAGGGTGTGCCAGGAGGATTCCCTGGGACAGAGGACAGCAGGGATGTGCTCAGTGAGAAGAGAAAGGAAAGATGGAAATACCGGGTTGGTGTCACCGCTTGGGGATGTTCAGGAGAGCTGAGAGAGGGAGAGAAGAGGGGTTTGAAAGGTCCCAGAGGAAAACAGGCTTTGAAAGGGGCCCTTCTCCCTGGTGATGCTCCCATCCAGGACCTGGGAGAGCTGTAGGAGCTGGTGGGGCTTTGGGAGGGAGCATCACAAACACAGTTATCAAACCCCATCCCAAGGAGGGCTGGAGAACCCTGGTGCTTCAGCAGCCCCAAGGGAGGAGCCTGGAGCAGGGAGTGAGGCCTGTCCTGATTCTGGACACTCACAGGGTGCTTGAGGGTGCAAGTTTAGCTCCTTCCAAGCCCCCTTTGCTGCACAGGAACCCTCCTGGTCCTGCTACTGCAGTGACAGCAGCATGAGGGGCAGTGTGACAGCAAGGTCACCTCTTCCCACTGCTGGGAATGTCCCACCCTGCTGCAGAGAGCCCGACCCAGGCCGTACCTGCACGTTCCTGTTGAGGCTGACGGCGGGGAAGAAGAGGCCCTCCAGGTTCTCGAAGGCCACAGGCCCTTGCTGGTCCTCATTGATGGAGAAGGTCAGAGTCCTCCTGGTCAAATCCAGCAGCACTCCCACCGTGGTGCCTTTCGTGATCCCGCCCTCGGTTCTGTGGGAGGAGAAGGCTCAGTGGCCCCTGAGCTCCTGGCTCTGGCACTGATGATGGTGAACAGCACAGCTCAGCCAGGAGCCAGGCTCCCATCCCAGCCATGCTCATCATTCCCTGGGATCCTCCTCCTCCACCCTCCCATGGAGCTGCTCTCCTCCTGCCATGATGTCTCCAAGGTGTGGGAATCCAGGGCTTCCCTCTGGCTGCCCTGGGACCCTGGCAGGGGTCAGGAACCCCCCTGGACAGAGCCCCCAGAGACACTGGCTGTGATCTCTGTCCATGGAAAAGAGTTTTCAATCTCACAGGATGAATTACCAGCTCTGAGTGTTTGATATAAGTCATAATTAAGTGTGGCACGGGTGCAAAAGTAAAATTTTAGGATTCTAGATTAGGGGTTCAAAGGGGACAAGATGGAGGAAATTGGGTGTGCCTTGTCCTTTTTCTCCTTCTTCATGCCCTCCATGTTTCACTGTGGTGTTGGCATTTTTCTGTTGGTTCAGGCTGGGGACACACTGTCCAACGTAGGTGACAGATATTGGCACGTTATTGTAAATCCAGCACAGGTAGTTTGTGGTATTTAATGTTTGCACCATCCCACTGAGGGCAGAGCCCCACACGCTGCCCTGCAGGACAGAGCTGCGGCAGGGCAGCAGAACATGGTAGAGATAAACAGAATAAACAACCTTGAAACAGCACAGACCAATTATGGCTTCTGCTTTGGCAACGGGGTAGAAAGACAGAGACTTTTACAATCTGGGAATCACCAATACCTCAGATTCCGACACAAGGGAAAAGTCACCCTGAGAGCAGCTACAGCCACAAATCCATGAGGGAAAGCACGAGGAACTGTGGAGCAAAGCCACACCAAAACCTGCTGATCCCTCAGGGCTGCAGGAAGGTGACCCCAGGCTCTCCCCAAGCAAAGTCCCCACTCCCCTGTGGAACATGAGCAGTGGCTGTGGCACGGGGATCGAGGCAGATGTTGCTGCAGGAGTTGCGAGGGTTTGGCTGTTACTGGGGATGCCAACAGGAAGAGTCAGCATGGAAAAAGTGATGGCAAGCAGGGAAGGAATACTGGAACAAGGCAGCACCAAGCAGCAGGGCCTGATCCCCACTGGGGGAAGGACACATCCTCCAACAGAGATGACCAGGATTGATGTCACCCTTCTCTGTGAACATTTGTAGGTGCCACTATCAAAGCCACTTTGGGCTGTGCTGTTGGGGAGGAATCCCCTGTCCCTCCCACCTACCTGTTGGTGTGGGAGTTGTTGTGCATGAACCAGCTGCGGTTGTTGTCCACGTACATGGCCCAGGCCTTGTCGTCCTTGCCCAGCATGGCATCCTTGAGGACGTCGATGCGAGCCACGCCGAAGGCCGGGTCGGGGTGGTTGTCGTAGCGATCGATGGACAGCTCCCAGTAGTGGAGCCCTTTGGAAAAGCCCGTTTTCCCCAGCACCACCCTGTCGTCGTAGCTGTTGCAGGTGACAGTCAGGTTGTCATTGGAAAAGATGATGTCAGCGTGGGCAGAGGAAGGGTCGAAAGAAAACCAAGCAACTGGAACACACAAAGGACACGGGGTTAGCGCGGTGGGGACGCGCCGGGGCCGCGTGGAGCGACACGGACAGGGCATGCTGCATGCACCACACGGAGCTTCCACCAGGGAGGGACAACTTCCACCACCGAGCGACAACTTCCACCACAGAAAGGCAACTCCACCACGGAGGGATGCTCTGAGCTCCTGTGGCTGCAGCTGCCAGTGTGCCTGAGGTTTTATGGACAGGATTTGGAGTTTTGTTCTTGCTGCTCCACGGCTCCCAGTGTCTCAGCTCCTGTGAGCCTGTAGGATCCTCAAAATTTGGCCTTTGCAGGAGATGTGATCCTCACCAGGTCTCCAGGCTCTAACAGAATTATGGAATCATGGAGTGGTTTGGGTTGGAAGGGATCTTAAAGCCCATCTCGTTCCAACCCCTGCCACAGCAGGGACACCTTCCACTATCCCAGGTTAGTCCAAGCCCTGTCCAGCCTGGCCTGGAATGTAACTTACTCTCAGGCCAGGAAAGGGGACTGAGGATCAGCAGATAAACTCTGTGTGTGTATTTAAGGGCTGTTTTTGGGAACCAAAAGCACACACAAGGAAACCTCCCTGCCAAGCAACGAGCCACACCTAAGACAAGAACTCATGGGAAGGCTGGAAAATGCCCCAAAACCTCCAGGATTCCGTAGGGCTGCTGGTTCAAATGCACAGGACTTGGTTACTGCAAATCTGACAGACACAGTGTCACGTCCTCGACAAGACAGAGGGACAGGGAGTCATTCACAAGCCACCAGCCCGGTTCCCCAGGTGGTTTCCTCCAGCTGAAAATGTGAACTGACACATCCACAAAACACTCTGGCGGGCTTGAAAAATAAAAAAACACTCGGGTGAGACTGATTCATTGGTTTATTGGAACGTTTCACAGGACAGCTGCCATGCACGCGGCCGCCCCGCGCTGCCCGCGCCGCACACGGGGGTGCCGTACCTGCCACCATTTTTTTAATGTCAACTGTGGTCATTCCCAGGGAAAGGCATGCGGGAGAGAAAACAGCACGTCAGCTTGGGTAGGGCAGAGAAGGAGAAACCATTCCTGCTTGTCTGTGACTCCAGCCAGAGCACGGAGCTGTCGGCATTCTGCATCGAGGTGGGGCGAGAGGCGCGGAGATGGGCTGGGGTGTGAGAGGGTGAGGAGGGAATCCCACAGGGCTGCAGGCTTCTTCTCCCCGGGGAATGAGCAGGACTGGCCCTGCAGACAATCTGAAGAGGACAGGCAAGCAGCAGCCACCTTGCTTTAATTAGCTGTAAAATGGCTAATTGCGTCCACGGCATTTGGCCCATGTGTACTGAGAATCATGGAATGGTTTGGGTTGGAAGGGAGCTTAAAGATCATCCTGTTCCACCCACTGCTGTGAGCAGAGACACCTTCTACTATCCCAGATTGCTCCAACCTGGCCTTGGTCACTGCCAGGGACCCAGGGGCAGCCACAGCTTCTCTGGGCAATCTCACAGCCGGAATCCCTTCCCAATATCCAACCAAACTCTGCCTTCTTTCAGTTTAAAAGGAGAGGAGAGCAGAAGGATCAGTTCTCAATTTCAGGGCTACTTCCAGAGCACTGAGCTCAGCCTTCTCCTTAGAAGCATATGGGGGAAAACCAAAATGCCTTTACATCACCCAGCAGTCATAACTTCTCCAAATTTGCCCCCTGCCTGAGGTACTAAAGGAGTTCTCATTCTTGGAGGGATTTAAAAGCTGGGTGGATGTGGCACCTGGGGACATGGGCCAGTGGTGGCCTTGGCAGTGCTGGGGAACAGCTGGACTCTATCTTAGAGGGCTTTTCCAACCTCAACAATTCCATGATTCTGTCACATCTGGGAGTGCTCTGCAAGCAGGGTACGAGCAAGAAACGCCGCTCAGTCGCCAAAGAAAAGATAAAAAAGCAAAAAGAACGAAGCAACACGCAGTAGGTGCCAGTTAATTGTAATTAAGATACTTGCCTAATTGGGAGTAAGGCGATCCTTGTGTGTCAAAATTGCATCCTATAAAGAGATACTACATTTCACACATCACAGCTAAGGAACAACAACCTCCAAACACTTGTGAGCATTTCATTCTTAATTAAGCATCCAGCAGCCACGGGAGGCCTGATTCATTAAAAGCCAGAGGACACGGAGAGGGGTGGCAAACACAGCCTGGGAATTTGAGTGTGGACTTTATAAAGTCTGACTGCTCAGGACACCGAATTATTCTGCTCTTCTCCAGAAAAGAGCAGGAAATCTTAGCCTTGGTGGAGTATCTTGGCTGCTTGGTAAAGATTCTCTAAACTGACCAAAAAAACACTCCTTGAAGGACAGAGATTGAGGAAAAGGCAGCTCCTGGTGGGTCTGGGTGGGAGTGGAGCTGGAAAGGGGATCCCTGGGGGCTGACACCTGCCTCAGAGCCCAAAGGGCTGTAGCTTCATCAGCTGCAAAGGCAGGATGTGTTGGGGTGCCCTTCATGCTGCTGTGCCTGATTGCTGGCTGCAAACACCTCATGGGAGCCAGGGACTGATCCAGGAACTTGTCCTCACCTAGGGGCTTGTTCTGATCCAGGAGCTTGTCCTGACCTAGGGACTTGTCCTGATTTAAGAGTTTTTCCTCACCTAGGGGCTTGTCCTCATCTAGGAGCTTGTTTTGATCCAGGAACTTGTCCTCACCTAGGGGCTTGTCCTCATCTAGGAGCTTGTCCTGATCCAGGAGCTTGTCCTGATCCAGGAGCTTGTCCTGACATAGGGACTTGTCCTGATTTAAGAGTTTTTCCTCACCTAGGGGCTTGTCCTCACCTAGGAGCTTGTTCTGATCCAGGAGCTTGTCCTGATCCAGGAGCTTGTCCTCACCTAGGGGCTTGTCCTCACCTAGGAGCTTGTTCTGATCCGTTTTTTTCTCACCTAGAAGCTTGAGCTGATCCAGGAGCTTGTCCTGACCTAGGGGCTTGCCTTGATCCAGGAGCTTGCCCTGATCCAGGAGCTTGTCCTCACCAGGAGGAGACACCAACACAAGGTCTGTGTTGGCATTGTGTGGGACAGCACTCAGGAAGGGCGCTGGATTTTAGGGGCACCCATGTCCAGCTCTGTGCCTGGTGTCCCCCTCCTGCCCTGGGTGTTGGTGGGAAAGCACCTGGCTGTGGTTTGTGCTCCGTGCTGTGCCAAGAGGCTCCTCCTGAGGCTGCTTTAATGAATCCTGCCCCGTGTCCCGACTCCAACACCGCCTTCTCCAGGTCTCCGCGCATCGCTGTGCTCCAAGCTCTCGTGAGGGACACACAGACCCTGCTTTGGCCTTCAGGACCCCGTTTTTCCCTGTCCCCCCACCCCAGAGTGGGGCTGCAGAAGGTCCATGGTGCACACACGGGTATCGCTCGCGGGCAGCACGGAAAGGTCCCGGAACACCGGACACAACGAAGGAACGTCCGTAACAAAACAGCGTTGGAAGCCATCAGCTCACAGCAGCACGATGAGAAATCAAACAGAAAAAGCACAAAGAAAAGAAAGTTTGCGGGGTCCCCCCCTGGTTATTCTGGCAAGGATCATGCTGCAGCATTCCTCATTCCGTGTTATGGGATGCAAGTCAATCAGGGGCCCCCATTCTTCCAGGGCTTACAGCGGAGAAAGCCGGGAATTAACACCTTTGGAGCGGTGTAAATCCGGAGTGCTGGAAGAATCAGGGCCCAGGATTTTTAGCAACAGAAGATGTGCAAAGATTGGTTAGAAACAGCTCTGAGAGAACCCTGTGGCTCCTTGCAGTCTGCCTCAATCCATCCCTCAGTCTGCCTGAGCTGCCTCCATCCCAGCACAGCCCGCGATTCCGGGCGCACGGATCGGAACCGAGCGCTCGTGCGGGGCTGCCGGGCCAGCGAGGCATCACAGGGGAGGTGTCCTCTGCTCTGCAGGAAACAAGGCTTTGGGATGATCCATCTGGGTTTGGAAAAGCTGAGCCCAGTGCTCAGTGAGCCCACATCTCCAGGCCCTGAATCGGGCTGTGAGCTGGAATCACAGAATCCCAAACTGGTTTGGGTTGGAGGGGACACAAATTATTATTATTTATTGCACAGCCCTGCTGTGGGCAGGGACACCGTGCACTATCCCAGGCTGCTCCAAGCTGGCCTGGGACAGACTCCCAGGGATGGGGAGCCCTCAGTGTCCCTGAGCAACAAGCCAGAGGCTGCATCCAGAATTGCCTCTTTCTTAAGAGGGGTCTAGATTTAATCAACCAAACTAATTTCACAGACCAGAATCTCCCAGCAGAGGCTGCGTTTCCTGGTTGGATTAGGAAAGGAAAGCATGGGGATATTCCCAAAGGTTTCACCCAGGGAATGTCTTTTCTGCTTAACCCTTGACACAAGCTCAACACAAACCAGAAATGAGGAATCTTCTAGAGGAAACTGTCGCTGCCCATACCTGGAGGTTGGAAGTGGATGAGCTTTAAGGTCCCTTCTAACCCAAACCATTCAGGGATTTATGATCACCAAAGGGTTCAGCCTTGCCAAAAGCAGCATCCAGGTAAGGAATTACTGTGCTGCTCCATCAGCCCACACCTCGAACTGTCTCAGGAGAACCACACCACGGACTCCCCTTGGCGGCAGGAGCAGACCACTGACGAACAGAAAAAATTCCCGCTGCCACCCGCATGTCATGGAAAAACAAACACAGCAGAACAGAACAAACAGATAGTTTGGAGATGCCCAGAAGCACAGACCAAGAGGCAACGCCAGAGGTGCTCAGCTCACCGGCTGAATTCAGGGACTGTAAGGAAGAATGCAAGCTCAGCTGGTGGGCCGAAGATCTTAGCTCAAAGTAGGATCTCCCCGAGAAGCTGGGTTGCAGGTTAAGGGTGGAGGAGAAAGGACTCATTCTACGCAGCTGCGATCTTTCCAAAGGCACTGGAAAAGGGAGGGTCTGTTCTTCTGACTGCGTGTCTAAATGTAAGATCAAACTACAGATCAGAATTGGGGTCTCTGCCGGGCGGCCTCGCTCCCCAGCCCGAGCTCGGAGCAGGGCAGGGAGACCCTCCAGGGCAGCCTGACAGCAGGGAAAGCACGTTCATCTTCCAAAGTGTCCCCAAAGTGTCCCCAAATTCGACTGGTTTTCTGTTAAGGGGGGTCCTGCACCTCTTCACAGTAAGGCACCTACAAAAATTCACAGGTTACCATGCACACGTCCCACCGTGCTTGAACACATCCCAAACCTTTTTGTGAACAATAATCAGGGGTGGAAAACCCAGCTGGCGACATTTTGCAGGGTTGTGCTAAGCTCTAGCACCCTAAGAACCACCAAGCACCCACCTTACTCAAGGGCTGTTCGGGAGGTTGTGTTCTTGGTATCCCTTTGTACCTGTCAAAACACATCTGAGCCTTACAGCAAGAATTTAACTCGTGGGATTCACAGCAAAAATGTCAGAGCAGAGGGAACCTCTTGGGTCATCGGTTTCTGTTCCCTGCTACCACAGTCACCTCCCACAGTTTCTTCCCTAAGCTTTTTCAGGATGATGTTAACATGAAAATGTAGAATCCACCATCCACGCACTCACACTCCATCCCCCAGCCTTCCCAGCTCTGCTGTGAGTATGGATTGAGCTGGGAATTGTGTTAAAAGAGATAAAAAGGGAACATTTCTTTGCATGGTGGGTTGTAACTTCTGCAACTCGCTGCCGTGGCCGAGGCTGTGGAAGCAAAGGGCGTCAGTGGGGTCAGAGGAGATAAATTATTGCACAACAGCCAATAAACAGAGCTCAAAATTTGTTTATTAGTTTAGCTTCTAACTCTTCCAAGAGTGAGAGGAACTACTACCACGAGTAGCTGTGCTCTTGGCTCTCCCTACTTAGCCCCTCACATCCCTCTAGCTCCTTGCAGGCTGATCCCCCTGGGGCTGTTGGCCCTTTCCAAAAGCTGCTGGTTAAAAAGCCCTGGTTGCTGCTCAGGGTCACTCCATGGATGGTCAGGAATTTAAAGCTGGGCTCCAGATGAGGAGCTGGGCTTGAAAGAAAAGGTTCTGGTGCTTGGCTTGGCTGGGGAAGGGAGGTGGAAGCTCTGTGCCTGGAGAGAAGCCTGGGAGGCACCACTGAGCTCCATTTCTCCATCTCCACCTGGAGTGAGTTGGCCCTTCATCCTGACATCCAGAACATGGAGAGGTCAGCAGGAGTCTGGCCAGAGGCCAGGAAATCTGCTGGATGAGGGAAAACAGGAGAGCAGGGTTGCCCAGCTCAGGGAGGAGGAGGAGGAGGCTGGGAGAGACCTCAGGGCTGCCACCAGCTGAGCTTTGGGACGTGTCTGTGCCCTGGGTCACCTTGGCAACTTTCTTCCAGACTCACTTCCCAACCCACAGCTGAACTTCATTCAGGTGCTGGACAAACAGAGGTTAAGGAAGAGCCTTGGGCTAAGATGTGACAGAGCAAGAGACACTGCCAGGGATTGTGTGGAGCAGCCCCAGATCAGCTCAGGAGGGGACACGGATCAAGGGAAGGATGTCACCTTCAACCCCTGCTGCCCTTGGCTGTGCTGGTGACAGGGACCTGCATCCCTGGGAAGCCCCAGCACACGGGAAGGGCCCTGGAGCACAGACCTTCTCCCAGCCAGGAACCCCCTTGTCCTGCTGGTGGCACCAAGAAGCAGCTTTGAAGAGTGACCTGCAGTAATCTCCTGTGGGATGAGCACAAGGTGCCTCTCACATGGGCAGGGAAGATGTTCCTGCTGCAGGCTCCTGCCTGTGCTGCCTTCCCATGGGATTTTGGCTGTTTGGCTGGGCAGGACCACCTGCAGAGCCCCAGACACGTCCCCTTCTTCTCATCCTTGTTCCCTTCAGATGCTGAGGCCCTGCAAGACCCTTTGCTCCCCACTACCCTCTGCTCACAGAAAGCAGAAGAAAGGCTTCAGCTCTCTTCCACAGGCTGCAGATGAAGATCTCATGGGCCAGAGCTACAAACCAGCTCTTAAATACCAGAATTCCTCACAACCACTTACAGCACGACAGCATTCACAGAGATGCTCTCTTCACATCGAGCCTGTCCCTTCTTTTATCCTCTCTTCCCACACAACCACTTTGCAGGAAGCTGCAGAGCTTGGCTGAAGGGAAAAGCTAAGCCTACTTCAGACAAAATAGCTCTTAAGAAGGCCTGATGCTGCTGTAAAAGCAGGAATAAAAGCCTAAGCGAGGGCTGTGATGTGCTCCATTCACCGAGGCACTGGGATATCCGGAAGCTGCACACACAGATGTGATTTATTTCTCTTTGAATCCAAAAGAGCTCAGGCGGCCTCTAAGAGCACAAAGTGCTCCAGGGCCATTTGACTTTTTCTCCCTGTTTCTTTTGTGCTGGAATAGCAAATGCAAGAGCTCATTCAAGTGAAAAGGCTGAATGAATGCAGCCAAGGAGAGTGGAACTTCTCCTTGGTGGCACGGCCCAAGCACCAGCCCCAAGCACAGCCCTGCTGGGGCCACAAGCAGCTATTTTCTCCCAGATTCCTCTGTATTTTGGAGCTAGGCTCAAGGTGAGAACACCTCTGAGGTTAAATCAAAGCTGGGAAGATCATAGTGAAGACCCTGCAAACTCCTGACTGGGACAATTTAAAGCCCAACTGGTTTGGATGAGGAAATTGTGTCTCAAATGTGTTGTGAGAGGCACAAAAGAGATGAGAAGTCAAAGCTCTGCTGTCTCCTGCTAAGGCTGGAGTGGGAGCTGCTGACCTTCAGGCTTTGGGAGCAGTCCTGGCCAACCTGGCATGGGGCTGGATGCAGCTTGTCCCTTTTCTGGACCTCCAGAGGAACTTCTGCAGCTTCTTTGCTGCTGGTGCTGTTTGCAGACAGGCTCTGAGGTGTCTCTGACAGATGTGCCAAGGCCTCTGTGCTGTGCTGTGACCTCCCTGCCTCTCCTGTGAGAAGTTTGTCACAGTTTTGCTGTCTGCTCCAGCTCTGAATGAATCCCATTCCTGCTGACCTGCCTTTTCCAAACTGGAATGGTGATCTGCAGGCAGCAAGAGAAACCAGCTTAGTCTCTCCAAGAGAGAAACAAGCTTGCTCTGCTTTTGTCTTCTATTTCTTCAGCAAAACCCCCATTTTTCTCCTTGCTCAAAGCTCCCAGAGCTGCCCTGTGGCAGGAAAGCTCTCCCCTTCCTTCACCCCACGAGCTGTGTGTGCTCCCTTCGAACCCCAGCTGTCAGCCAGCTGGATGCTCTGTGAAAAAACCCCTCACACAGCTTGGAAAAGAGAGATTTTTGTCTGGAAGCATGGAAAAGGGATTCCAGCAAGCGTGGAAAGCTCCCAGAGAAGGGTTTTGTGCCTGGCTGTGGGGCAGCAGATGTGCTGGTGGGGGCTGATCCCTTCCTCCAGAGCTCCCAGCTCAGAGCCAGCCTTGCCATTCTCCACCTGCATGTCAGGAATAAACCAATTTTCCACAATGGATTAAGTGCCTGGTGTGACAAATGGACTTAAAGCCAGGCAGGGAGATCCCCCTGCAGCCTGCAAGGGAGTGTTTTAATATTCTGAGTGGATGTGGGGGCGATGCAGACGGTGCTGCAGGGCTCCTGTGCATCCCTGGCTCTGGAAGGACACCCCCACTGCTCCATGGCCCCTCTGCTCCCTGTCCTGCCCTGCCAGGCCTTCATCCCGTGCTTTTGGCACCCTTCAGTCAAGCACAGCCCTCAGCAGCATTTTGCTTTAAATGGGCCCAGCGAAAACACCTGAGCTTCCCTTTTGTGTCACATTGATAGTAAAAGGGTTTAAAATCATTTAAACCCTTTAGGGTTTAAAGGAAAATTAATTTAATTTAGGGTTAAAAGGGAAATTAAGCTTAGTGGGCCCTGAAAAGAAATAAATACCCTAAGTACAGGGTATTGTATCTTACTAGAACTGCACCTGCGTAGCTAGTACATGATAAGTGATATAATTGTTAGATGTGATGATTGTTTAGTAATTAAATATAATTACTGTTTAATCATAAGAATAATCATGAGAAACTGTGGTCAGGGGCCTAAGAAAGATCACGAGAAACTCATGTCAGTGTATACAATAGAACAATATAAGTTTAATAATTAATATGTAAGTTATATAAGGATAGAATATAAAATATGTTCAGCTCAAAAGCCGTGTCGGAGTCAGATTTGGGTTTGCACCCCGACTCCCAGAGCTCTCAATAAAAGCACCTGCATGGAATCATACCCCATGATTATGTGTTTTCCTGAACACTAACAAAATCCCCCCAAATTTAAACCCTTCTCCCCAGAGAACACGCCCTGCACAGGACAAGGGGGAGAGGGGAATTGTGGCAGTGCTGGAGGCTCCTGGCACAGCTCTGCCCATCAGGGCAGTGCTGCTGCTGCTGCAGGGGGTGTTTGGGGAGGGTCAGGCTGTCCCCAGCCGTGTCCCAGCCGCTGCAGGACCTTACCCTCGGAGGTCTGGAGCACCAGGGTCTTGCTGTAGGGGCTGACTCCTGACTTGTTGAAGGCTTTGACCCGGGCGCTGTAGGTGCTGTTGAAGTGCAGCCCGTCCACCGTGCACATGGTCTCCTTGCCCACGTACACCTCCTGCAAGACAACGCCTCTGCTCAGTGCCAGGGCTGGAGAACAGCCCCAGGGGCTCAGGGTGCCCCAGATCCCACCCTGCCCTGCTCCCTGAGGGGCTGGGGAGGGCTCAGCCTCAGCAAAACCAGCTTTGTTCCTCGGGCTGCAGCACCAGCAGCACCTCAGGGGGGTTCTGCCCCTCTGCTCTGCTCAGCTGGGAGCCCACCTGGGGTTCTACCCCAGCTCTGGGGTCCAACATCAGGAGGAGCTGGAGCTGCTGGAGAGAGTCCAGAGGAAGCCTGGAGCTGCTCCAGGGCTGGGAATGTTCACCTGGAGAGGAGAAGGCTCAGAGCCCCTTGCAGGGCCTGAAGGGGCTCCAGGAGAGCTGGAGAGGGACTGGGGACAAGACACAGGGAATGGCTCCCACTGCCAGAGGGCAGGGATGGATGGGAGGTTGGGAATGAATTTTATCAGCAGCAAGCACTGACCTTGTTCTCCCCACACCCAGCCTCCTGCTCCCTTCTCTCCAGGTCCCTCCCCCATGTCACCTCTCCTTTGCCTCAACTCTGAGCTCGCTGTGGATAAATTCAGAGTGCAATGGGCTGGTCCTGTGCCTTCTCTCAGTGGATGTGAACATGCCAGGATAATTATTGGCGTGTTGGATCAGAGAAAAATCATATATTAATTGTGTAATTACAGCAATTTAAAAGCCCTCAGGCCTTAAACACTTCTGCTTGCTGGCAGCTGGCAAACCATGAGGCTTTCATGGCAATTAGCATACCTTGCATGAAATATTCAGCAACCTAAAAATATGGTTTGGGTTGGAAGGGACCCCAAAGATCATCTTATTCCAACCCCCTGCTTTGGGCAGGGACACCTTCCACTGTCCCAGGCTGCTCCAAGCCCTGTCCAGCCTGGCCTTGGACACTTCCAGGGATCCAGGGGCAGCCACAGCTGCTCTGGGCAACAAGAGCTTCAAACTTGTTGAGTTTCCAAGTCAACTTGGCCATTGGAAAGGCATTTTCACCCCTTTAAATCATCTTGTACCCCAAAACCCCTCAGCTTGTTTGCACCATCTGCTTCCTTGGGCTACCCAGCAGGGAAGAGGGGACTTGCAAAAAAAAAAAGGAAAAAGGAAAAAAAATAAAGAGGACAAATCCTGTGGTCACCTGGTGGCAGGGATTCACTGGAGGCAGAACATCCCCTCCAAGCACCTACCCTGAACTGGCCACCGTTGCCATCGTCCAGCTCCAGGATGTATCCTTCCACCTGCACCGTGGACAGAGGGGGCTGCTTCCAGGACAGGGTGGCACTGTTGTTGTGGGTGCAGCACTCCTCCAGCTGCAGGATGGGCGGGGCCGGCACTGGGGAGGAGACTAATCACCAATTAGTGCAATTAGTGCAACCCCGGGGCAGGCAGGGTGCAGTGACTGCCTCGGTGGGGAGGGAGCAGAAAGGATTGTTCTCCCACCAAATTCCTCCCCCCACCACCGGCCTGGTGAAGCTTTTCTGCTTTATTCCCATTTTCTAATTAATTTTGGAGAATTATGGCAGCACAATGTGACTGTTTTGAGCTGCCTGGACCTTTCATGCAGCCAGTCCCAAATCTGGGATAATTCTCCCACAGTTCTGTAGAACTCTGGCTCAGGACTTATCTACAGCCCTGCTTTTCCCTTCAATAAATTCACTGCAACAAAACTGGGGGGGCTGAGTACCCCCTTTGGCTCCCATCAGCTGCACAGGGGACAGAAAGAACTGCCAGGGTTTTTTCTGCTGTGTTTGGGCATCTCCACATGTGTCCCACAGCCTGATCCTGCTCTGGAAAGCACAGGAGGAGGGACAGGGAGATGTGCTCTGACACATCCTCAACAGAGCTGCTCCTCCACCATCCTCATCCTCACTGCCCAAAGGGCCAAGAGCCAGTGAAAACAGACATGGAGAAATAAAACAAGGTGGGGAGGAGCCATGGATGCCTGGGAAAAAGCTGGATTTGCCCAGCATTCACCCTCTGTGACTCCTCCAGGGATGCCTTGGGGTTGCTCACTGCTCTTTATTGAGGCCTCAGGTGTTGCCCTCCCTCCCCTGGTGCTGTGACACAGATTTGGGATCCAAACCCAACCTTCTGCAAGTCTGCAAAACCAACAACTGATTTCCACAGCCAGGGTGAGCTGGGAGGAGGAGGAGGGGTTTGATAAGAGGAGGGTGGGCGGCTAAACCAGCAGCAGATTTGTTCTTATTAATTAAAAATAACCCTCTGGGCTAAATTGCAGGAAGGGAGGGCAGGAACACAGGAATGTGAAACAGCAATCCAGCCTTCCCTGGGTTTGCTATCCAGAAATATTCCTGACATTTCAGATTAACAGCCTGGCCAAGGAAGCACCATCAGCTGAGGATGCTCCTTGTGGTGCCAGAGAAGAGTGTGGCCAACATCCTTCCTGTCCTGTCCACACCCTGGAGTGTGCAGGCAGCTCCTGGGCCAGGAATTCCAGCGGTGATGGGGATGAAGAGCAGTGCCAGACCTGCAGCTGGAGGTACAGGCCGGGTTCAGAGTCCTCCTGAGCCCCTCTGCATCTTTGCCAGCTTCCCTGGGCTTGCCAAATCCCAAATTTCTGATGGGCTGCAGCAGCCCTTGGTGGGGCAGGAGGAGGATCACAGAGAGAATTGGGAACAGCGGGGAAATGAAAGCCAAAATGATGATCTCAACCAGCAGGGAGGTGAGGAGAGGGAGGGCAGAGCCAGGCTAGGTGACCTGGCTCTGTTTGGAGGGACATCTGCTCTGTGACAGATGCTGCTCAGCGCTGAATGAGCATGGAGATGTGAGGAGAGGTTTGGGAAAAGCCTTGTGCTGCTGCCAAAACAGAGGTCCCAACCTGCAGAGCACTTCTCAATGCACTAATAACTTTGTCAGAGCACTTTTTAATGCACTAGTACCTTTTTAATGCATAGGAGTGCATTTCCAGGCAAAGCCAAACTCCTGGCACCTTGCTCTGGCATGCTGCTGCCCAGGGATCCAAGACAGGGAGGCAGATGGTTGGCTCAGGATGCAAAACCCACAGGAATGGGCATAACTCTGGGTCTGGGGTGCCCAGTCTTGCTGGGAGGTTGTTGGATTAGGCCCTTTTCTGACCCAGGAGTTTTATAACTTTTATTCCATTTTCAGTTTCATGAGAAGGGTGAGACAATACAGATGTTATAACTCAATCAGAAGCCAACTATTTCCTAATTACAATACACTGTAAGTGTTTCTTGGGCTATCAGCCTTTGCCACACCATGCTGTAATACTTTAAAGCCAATAATCTAAAATCACCCCTCGTAGGTCCTACTACAATGCATCTTTCATAGTTCCATTTCTCCAAATTATTTAGTTTTATTTGCAAAGCCATCCTTTGAAACTTGATTTAAGTTCTCTTTTTCTCATAATAACGTTTATCTTATCCTATAGCATTTCTAAGTCAGCATTTATTTCAAAGTTTCCATACAGATGCACGCTATGCCAGCCTTCTGTTAAGCTTTGAGAATTCTCTACGAATTCATTTCTCCCAGGAGGTGAGAAACTCTCCTTTTCTGCCCTTTTCCCTGGGATGAGCTGCCTGCCAGCTCCCAGCAGGAGCAGAGCAGAGCTTTGGGAAGGCACTGGAAAGATCCTTACCTTTCATCTGCACGAAGTCCAGCTGGTGGATGGACTGCAGCAGAGGGGCGTTGTCGAGGTTCAGGTCGAAATCCGTGGTCATGCGTGGGGTGAGCGTCCCCTTGCCCCACTGATCCTCGGTCAGGTGCACCCTCCTGATCAGAGCATCCGAGATCTGCAGGGCAGGAGCAGCCTCAGCTGCCTGGCATGTGTCCCACGCCCTGTCCCCACCCTGCTGTCCCCTCCCTCTGCCTCTGGCTGCCCAAGGCTGGCGTGTCACTCGTGGTTTCCAGCATCCCTCTGCCCTGCAGGCTGGGCTGGAGCAGGGAGCCCTGGAGTTTAGTGCCAAAATATTGGAAAACCCCAGTTTTACAGAGATAGGGCAACTGAGGGCTGTTTTACAAGGTTTTATTCCATTATCAGTCTCGTTGAAGGGTGAGACATAAGAGATGTAAAACTCAAGGCCATTCCATCAGAAGCCAGCCCATTACCTTATAAATGTTTTCCAGCCTATTATCTTTTGCCACACAATCCTGCTAACACTTCTAACACCAATCACATATTATTTTACCCCACGTCATCTTTCTACAATGCATCTTTCACAGTTGTAATTCTCTAAATTATCTGGTCTTTTTGCAAGGCTCTAGTTTGAAACTTATTTCTAATTCAGTCTCTCAGCCGTGTCATCTCTGCTCCATGGCCTTGCTAAGCCAGCACACCTCATCTCAGAGTTTGCACACACGTGCACAAGGCTGTGTGAGCTTTCAGCCACGTTTTGAGAACCCTTTACAAATCCCTTCCCCACAGCAAAGGCAGCCCAGGAATGCCTGGTGGGATGCAGCTCCCAAGGGCTGGCTGTTGTCTCTCAGGGGAGAGCCACAAGCACAGTGTTGTTGCCACAGGCCCCCAGCTGGGTGATAATTAGCACTGACTCCATGATTGCAGAAGGCTGATCAATTGCTTTATTATATCATCCTATACTATATTATTCTATACTTATTAAGAAACTCAGTAACCCTTCTAGCCAGTCCAGTACAGCTTTGATCTAATTGCTCAATCCACCTAAACACCATCCAGCGTCCAATTAAGAAATCACCCTTTGGCAAATAAATCTCCATAAAACATTCCACGTGCACACAACAGCAGGTACAAGTGGAGATAAAATTTGTTTCTCATTGTTTATTCTGATCTTCTCACAGCCTTCCCTGGGAAATCTGTGCCTGCTGCCACACAGTGTGATGCTCCAGAGCTGCACCATCCCCTCCCTGCTCCAACCCTCTCCCCAAAAATCTTCCTGCCCTGACGCTGCCCTGGAGGTGACCAGAGGCAGATTTTTGATTTTCTGGGGCCATCCCCAGCCCTGCTGCACTCCCCCAGGCGTTCCCACCTGCAGGAAGCCGCTGGGGTCGTTCTCCTTGATGACCTCCAGGCAATATTCCATCAGCCCCGTGGTCTGGCGCAGCTTCACGGTGCAGTGTGAGATCTGGTCCCTCACCACCTGCAGGGGACAGGGACAGCAGGGTCACAGGGAGAGGCAGGGCTGGCCAGCACTCAGGACTCAACTCCAGATCTTTCAGAACCTAAGGAATATCCGAGTCCAGAGCATCCTTCTGGCTGCCCTGGATGCCTCCAGCCACTGGCAAACAGCCCAGGAACCTTGGCAGCAAACGAAAAACACCGGTGTGTTGGAACTCAAAATGTCCCTCAGACATTTTTGGAGGTTCCAGGCCCTGGTCAGAAGCATTTGAGACCCTGGCAGGCAGCTGGAAACAGCTGTGATTTTGGGTTTGAGCCATGGGATGATTTACCAACCTTGCAGGAAGAACAAGAAGTCACAAAAGTTTAGATATTATAGTATAAGTAGTTACAAAGTAGAGGGGAGAATTTTTTAGTGTTGTACAGGGGGGTTTTAACACCTGTACAGGGGGGTTTTTACTTTGTACATGGGGGTCAGACTGTAACATAGGTGAGAGCTAATAAACATGTGAGTGCTAACAAGAAATACGTCACACTTTTAATTGCAAACTTAACAAAACAAAACAAAACAAAAACAAAAACCCAACCAACCAAAAAAAAAAAACCAACCCCAAAAAAACCCCCAACAAACAAACAAACAAACAAACAAAACAAACCCAAAAAACCCCAAAAAACTGAAACAAAACAAAAAACAAAACAAAAAACCCAAACCAAAACAGAAAAAAACCCAAAACCAAAACAAAACACACACAAAAAAAAACCCCCAAAGAATCCACACTGACCCATGTCCCCAGGTCCACACAGATTTTAAATCCCTCCTGGCAGCCTGCACCAGGGCTGGACACCCCTTCCCATGAAGAAACTTTCCCTAATATCCAATCTCAACTTCCCCTGGCGCATCTTGAGGCTGTTCCCCGGGAGATTTGGGACAACATCCCTGCTTGTGTGAAATGCCATTCAACACCCCCCAGAACTGCCCCAGATTTTTTGGGGGCAGCTGTTCCTGGCTGCTTTCAGCAATCCCAGCCTGGTGCTCCCAGGCTGTGGCAGAGGGAGGCTGCAGGAGGGGATGCAGCAGAGGGAGTTCCCGTATTGCTCCTCTGGCCCAGGACACCGTCCAGAGGCTCCTGGAGATGCTGGGTGGCTCTGAGATGGAGCTGGACCTGCACATGCTGGTTTTGGCTTCAAACACTGCTGTTGTTGGAGTGGGGAGTTCATTCAATTCCAGTTTCAAACACTTGAGTGCACTGGAACAGCTCTGCTGGGCTGAATCACAGAATTCCAGGATGGTTTGGGATGGAAGGGATCTTTAAAAGCCATCCAGTCCCACCCCTGCCATGGCAGGGACACCTTCCACTGTCCCAGATTGCTCCAAGCCCTGTCCAGCCTGGCCTTGGACACTGCCAGAGATCCAGGGGCAGCCACAGCTTCTCTGGGAATTCTATTCCAGGGTCTCCCCACCCTCCCAGCCAGGAATTCCCAATTCCCAATCTCCCACCCATCCCTGCCCTCTGGCACTGGGAGCCATTCCCTGTGTCCTGTCCCTCCATCCTTGTCCCCAGCCTCTCTCCAGCTCTCCCGGAGCCCCTTCAGGTCCTGTAAGGATAAAGCAGAGCCAGCAGCTGGTCCTGGAGATCCCACTCCTACACTGACCTTCCTGAAAGAGGGCAAGCCCCTGGATTTCCTTCCTCAGTCCATCCAGGAGGTGCAGAGCAGCTTTTTGGCTTTGTGTGACCCCTCCTGCTCAGAGAGAGCGCTCAGGACTTGTCTGCTCCTTGTCTGTGTGGATTTTGGGTCTCCCAGCTGCACACCAGGAGATAAAACCTTTCTGTGGGGTGCAAGCCTGCTGTCAGAGCTCATCCTGGCTGTTCCAACCAAGCCAGAGGCAGGCTGTGCATTAAGGGCATCCCACATGGAATGCCTGGAAAAGCCATGCTGACCCCTCTGTGGGGAAATGCACGTGCCACTGGGAAGGCAGCAAAGATGGGATTGCTAAAACAATCTTCTTATCTTCTTTGCAGCTTAAATCTCTGTCTGCTTTGCCCAGGATAATGAATTTGTGAAGCTCTCCCTGCTGGAGCTGATGCTTTCCAAGGATTTCCAGCAGAATTGCCATCTGCTGCTTCCAGCCAGGAAACAGCATTTGCTGGGTGAAGACATAATAAAAGCTTTTTTTTCTTTTTCTGTTAAGGTGGTCAAAGACCAGAAAAAAGAGACTCCAGCAGTAGAGGCACTCCAAACTCCCAGGGCAGGTGAATCCAAAGCTGCAGCTCTGTCCCAGCCCTTCCCTAGCTCTGATCCCCTCAGGGATCCAGCATCATCCATCTGGAGCAGCAGGGCAAAAAACAGCATTTAAATTTCACCATCTCTACAGCAACAAAGCAGAAATCCACGTTGCCTTCAGCACCAAACTGCTTTTAAGGTAAAAAAAAGAAAAAAAAAAAAAAAAAGGATCTTTGGTTGGGATCTACTGGGACTTTTTACCAAATACCATTTTCTCCCCTTTAAATGCTAAATAAGGCAACAGCCAGAACCTGGCTGCTAATTCCAGCCTATAAAAAGGGGGTTTTGTGCACTCACAGCAGTTCACCACAACCTTAAAATAGGACAGTTCTTTCATGAGCTTTTCTTCCCTGAGATGACATTAACTATAATTTACATTTTAATTTTAATACAGCTCCTAGAAGGCAATAACATCTCCACTGAGCTCTACTTAAGTGTCCTCCTCCTTTTTTTAGTGCTTGGGTGGGTAACAGATTTCAAGGCACTCATCCTTCCCAGTGCCTGGGCTGAGTCCTGCTGGGAATGGAATGTCACATGGAATGTCACCCTCCTCACCCTGGGTCACCTGCAGGGCCCTGGGGATGGCAGGTGGTGCCCTGTGCTTCCGTGGTGACTGAAACCCTGAAGAAGGAGCATCATGTCACCTCTGGAGAGCCAGAGCCATGGACAGAAAGCCTTGGGGAGTGTTTTTTGTCACCTGCTCTCCTGGGAAACGCTGTCTGCCTCAACAGCAGCCTGGAGAAACCATGGAGCAGAGGCATCCCATGGCCTGAAGGCTGGAAAAAGACTGGAATGGTTCCACAGTGCTGCTGAGAGCTTCAGGAGGAGCTCCCACAGCTCAGCCTGTGTGTGTGGTGAGCTGAGGAGAGATTTCTTCCTGGGACAAGGCTCTGTGTGCCCTGCCCAAAGCTGCCCGTGCTGCTGGAGGACATCACCCCTCAGGAGAGACCCCAGTGCTCCTCACAAGCCAGGAGCAGCAAGGGGAAGGCCACAGAGGGATGTCTGTCCTGCAGGCAGAGCTGCCCTGGCCCCAGTGCTCCTCCAGATGTTGGTTTTTGAAGCCCAGCCACGAATCCAGCCATGGTGGGAGGCTGCAGAAGGGCAGGGAGAGGTTCCTTCCAAGCTGGTGTCCTCACAAGCCTCTCCCTGCCCTGCAGTAGTTAGTGCTGGACCAGAGTCAGGCCTGGATCTGTGCCTGCCCCCATGGAATGTGTGTCAGGACAAAGCAGGGCAGTCCCAAAGCCAAACCCACCCCAAATCCAGGCGCCAGCCACACGGGGATGGGAACCAGGGCTGGGAATTGGTCCTGAGAGGTGCCTGTGGCCCTGTGCCAGGGGTTGGCTCTGTCCCCCTGTGCCTCTCATCCTCCCTCCATCCCACAGTGCCAGAATGGCCAAAATCCCACTGGGCAGGAGCAGCAGCTCACGGAGACTCCGGGCCAGGAGCCAGGACACTGCGGCTCCGTGCTCCAGCTGGGGTCTGAAAGGGCTCCCTGGCACTGCCAGGGGAGTGAAAGGGTCTGAAAGGGCTCCCTGGCACTGCCAAGGGGATGAAAGGGTCTGAAAGGGCTCCCTGGCACTGCCAAGGGGATTAAAGGGTCTGAAAGGGCTCACTGGTCACTCATCTCCTAGGGTGAGGTGCTCCAGGACAGGGCAGTGACAAGTGGACACACAGGACAGGACTCCTGTGGGAAAGGATGAAGTTCCCAGCACAGGTCAGTGGCCAAAAGTGTCCTGTGCTGATGTGAGCATCCTTGGAAGTGTCCCAGGCCAGGCTGGACAGGGTTGGGAGCAGCCTGAGATAGTGGAAGGTGTCCCTGCCATGGCTGGGGTGGCACTGGGTGGGATTTAAGGTCCCTTCCAACCCAAACCAATCCATGATTCTGATTCTAACTGGGTGAGGCTCAGGTGCCACCTCTGCCAGGGTACCACAGATCCCTTCCTGCCATTCCCACAGCACCTGGAGCTGCAGGAGCTTCAGGGAGGGAGGCTCCAGGGCTCATTGAAGAGTCCAGTCACAAACCCAGGGCTGTTTCTCCTTCTAAGGACCAGGCCTGGCTGGTGACAAAGCCCAGCTGATAACGAGGGTGGATGGGGGTGGGACGGACGCCACAGGACAGGACAAGCAGCGGGATGCTGTGGGAATCCAGGGCTTCCCTCTGGCTGCCCTGGCAGGTCTGGGACCCTGGCAGGGGTCAGGAACCCCCCTGGACAGAGCCCCCAGAGACACTGGCTGTGATCTCTGTCCATGGAGAGGAGTTTTCAATCCTACAGGATGAATTACAAGCTCTGAGTGTTTGATATAAGTAATAATTAAGTGTGACATGGGTGCAAAAGTAAAATTTTAGGATTCTAGATTAGGGGTCCAAAGGGGACAAGATGGAGGAAATTGGGTGTGCCTTGTCCTTTTTCTCCTTCTTCATGCCCTCCATGTTTCACTGTGGTGTTGGCATTTTTCTGTTGGTTCAGGCTGGGGACACACTGTCCAACGTAGGTGACAGATATTGGCACGTTATTGTAAATCCAGCACAGGTAGTTTGTGGTATTTAATGTTTGTACCATCCCACTGAGGGCAGAGCCCCACACGCTGCCCTGCAGGACAGAGCTGCGGCAGGGCAGCAGAACATGTTAGAGATAAACAGAATAAACAACCTTGAAACAGCACAGACCAATTATGGCTTCTGCTTTGGCAGCGGGGCTGACAGACAGAGACTTTTACAATCTGGGAATCATCAATACCTCAGATTCCGACACATGGACAGGACAAGCAGTGGGATGCAGATCCATGGGCAGGACAAGCAGTGGGATGCAGATCCATGGACAGGACAGGACAGGCAGTGGGATGCAGATCCACTCCTCCAGCCAAAGGCCTCTGTGGGTTGTGCTGAGCAGGGAAATTGCTTTGTGCTGCCCAGCTTTGTGAGAGTTTAATTAACCATGCCCTGAAGGGGATGAGGGGAAGGGAGCCCACCAGGCACTGGGGGTCCCCTCTGTGCTGTGGCTGTTTGGGGCTGTGCTTTGTTGCTGCAATCAGCACTGACGGTGGGCTCTGTCCCACAAAGCTGCCATTGTCCCCCTCCCTGTGGAAATGCCCTCGTGCTGCCCATGGTCTGCATGCAGAGAGGCCTGGTGGCCGTCACCCTCATTTTAGGCAGATCCAGGAATCCCTGTGGCAGCCTCCTGGGTGGCCCAAAGCAAGGTCAAGAGACACAGAAGGCAGAACACTGGAATGACCTCGAGAGGGAGACCCTGGAATCCTAAATGTGGGTGTGACATCCCTCAGCTGCACTCCATCCCTGATGGCCAGGGTGCAACCCCCTTGTCCAACAATTCTGGGCATGGCTGCACCTCTTCCACTGCTCCCAGGTGGAGCTTTGCTTCCCTTTGCTTCCCTTCTCAGCCCCACGTCAGCTGGGAAGACGTGGTGTGGTGACAGAGGGAATGACACAAACCAGGAGCCCCCACTGAGCTGCACCTCTGCTCCCCAACACCACAAACCCCAGTGCCACCACCCCGAGGCCAGGCAAGCAGAAAAACCAGAGCCAGTCCTGCTCCTGGTGACAGCTCTGACACCGAGTGGCTCAGGACTTCAGCAGAAGTTACCCTCAGCATCCTGCAGGATCATTCCAGAAGCTTGGGAGCAACATGTGACAAGAACAAAGCGATTTTCCAGGCTGTACACGTGGTCCTGCTGACCTAAGGACTAGAAATGAACCCAAAAATTCAGCGGGAACCACCCGGAGGAAGCAGCGCTTTGGCAGGGACATGCTGCGAGATGGAATTCACGTGGAAAAGGAGGGACCCTCCCCAAAAAACAGCATCCCAGTCCTCATCCCCAGCCAGTGCCAAGCCTGCAGGAAGCTCTCTGACCACCCAGGCTCACCTTCAGCTTGTGCTCGTGCTCCTTGTTGACCCGGGACAGCAGCTGGGCTTTCCTTCTGTTGAGGGCGTCGATGAGGGCGTCGCACTGGGCCACCAGGCAGGCCTCGAACTCCACGCTGTTCTCCTGCGGGCACAGAGGGACTCACAGCCCAGGGAACATCCCCAGGCCAGCTGGAAAACTGCATTTTCCTTTTCCATGGTGCCACAGGGGTTGTTTTTGACCCTGCAGCTGCAGCACTGTGGATCCACAGCGTTGGATGTGGGATCTGCATGGCCTTGGGTCGTGGAAAATGTGGTGGTGGTGAAGCCTTGTGAAACCTGCCCTAGAGCAGAGGCTGGATGGAGTTACAGAATAAATCAGGGATTTATTAAAGGATCTCCTCCATGGATTCACCTTGGGCAGCACCAGAGCCCAGCCAGGGCTGCACCCAAATGAACCAAAATGGTCCCAAAATGCACGAGCGCTCCCGGGGGCTCTCCCTGGGATCAGTTCTGCTCCATTGGCACCTTGGAGTTCATTGTCCCATTCCAGCTTTAGCCCAGGCAGTCCCACCCTGCTTGTTTTTCTCTCTCCAGCCCACGCTGTTTGTGCTCCTGGGCTGAGATTTGGATCATTTGTCCTTGGTGCCCAGCTGGAGCAGGAATTGTTTTGTGTCCCTGCTCTGTGCAGAGAGCTCAGCATCCCCTGGTATGGAGCCCAGACCCACACATAAAGCAGCACAGAATGTGAAATATAGAAAAGCTAAACCTGAGGCATCAGTGGCAGGTGAGGAACAGGTTTGGATCCACCCATGGCAGAGATGGGAAGGGCTCAGGACTCTGCTGTTCCCTCCACGGTGCCAGGAGCAGCAGTTTTTGGAAGGGTCCAGGGGGGCAATGTGGAAAACAAGGTTCCTTTGGGAGAGCACCCACCCAAAAAGCTTGGGGAGAGGGACAGGGGATGGCTCATCCTGGTGGGAAGGGGCAGTTTCTCAGCTGGAGACTCCGTACCTGGATTTGCTGCACCATGTTGCGGAGCTGGACCAGGAATTCCTTTGCCTCCTTGGCTCTGTCTGACAATCCATTCAGGGCCTGGGAGAGCTGGCTCTGCAGGGGAAGCAAACAGCAAGGTCACTTCCATGTCCAGGACTCATCCATCCCCCAACACAAATAGAATTGACCCCACAGAGGTCCCTCTCAAGCACTCTAAATAATGGAACTAACAGGCAGAAACAGAGCTTGTAACAATCAGGAAAATCCATGGAAACAGGGGAAAAATGAAAGCAAACATGGACAACTTCAGTTATCTGCACGGACCTTGCTGTGCTAACAGGCAAGCTGTGGAAATGTGGGCAGATTCTCCCAGCACACCCAGATCAGAGCTCTTGCAATGCAGCTGATGGACGATGTAAGAGACCAGTTGAAGATTTAATTTGATCTGAAATGGGCCCATCTAATGGTTTTCAGCAAAGAGACAGGATTGTGTGGGATTTGGGCTGGGGATGGGCTGCAGCATCCCACCAAGGTGTGCCTGAGTGCAAGGAGAGGCAAAGGAGGGTTAACCATCATACCCTGGCTTTGGAAAGCAGATATTCAGTGTCCACCTCCTCCACAGGCTTCCCTGGGTGATCAGGGACAAGCCACATCCACCCTGGCTCTCACAGGGAGCCATTTGCTCCCTCCCCTGGATCTGTGTCCTCCAGGGAATCACCAAAAATGCTGTAGGGTCTGACCCATGTCTGCTGGGAACACAGGTCAGGCCACCTGAGCCAGACTGAAAATCACCCAAAGCCTCCTGGAAGTGAAGGCTGGGGGAAATGGATTTATAGAAAATTCTTAAAGCTTAACAGAAAGTTTATATACTGTGTATCTGTATGTAAACTTTGAGATAAGTGATGTTGACTTAGAAGTGCTGTGGAAAAGGATAGAGATTGTTGAGAGAGAAATGGAGCTAGAAACAAGTTTTAAAGGATGGATTTGGTGAAAAAGACTAGATACTTTGGAGAAATAGAACTGTGAAAGATGTCTTGTAGTAGGACTTATGAGGGGTAATTTTAGATTATTGCCTTTAAGGCATCTACAGCATGGTGTGGCAAAGGCTGATAGGCCAAGAAAGGCTTATAGTGTACTATAATTAGGAAATAGTTGTCTTCTGGTTGTGATGGTGTGAATTATAACATCTGTGTTGTCTCAGCCTTCACATGAGATTGAAAATGGAATAAAAGTTTTAAAATGCCTCTCAGTTGCCCCATGTCTAAGTCAGAAAAAAACCCATAATCCAAGAGAAGGTAAAGGTCTTTCTGCAAAATACTGACTGCTCCTTCTCCCTTTGGAGTGAGAACACTCCCACAGCCCTGAGCGGCAGAATTTTGTAATAACAACCGTTATGTTCATCAAATGCTTTTTCTTTTTCATTTTGATGGCTCTTTCTGAACACTCACTCGGGAATCTTCCCACTCTCCCCCTTCTGCCATCACAGCAGTGTGTGGATTATCTCAAGAGCTGGCCAAATCACCCTCAGCAATTTTCCTCTGGGAGAGGTTTTGCCTCTTTTGTGGGCTGCAAATTGTTCTGCAAACACCCCGTGAGTTTTGAGGGGGTGATCTTTCTTTGAGGCAGACACAGAAAGGTGCTGGGAAGGTGGTGGATGTGCCCAAATCTCCAAAAATCTACTGTGCCCATCCTTCCAGGGATCAGGATGTGGGCAGTGGGCTGGCAGCCCTTCCCAGAGGTGCTGTGCCCCCCTGGATGCCAGTGTGGGAGCTGGAAGTGAGGTGGGAGAGGGGAGAAGGGCTCTGCTCTTGCTGGGCTGAAATCAGGAGTAAAACCCAGCATTGCTACTGAGGAGAGCCCTGGCAACCCTTTAATAGCCCAGAAAATAATGGCCCAGAAAATGACCTGGCTGCTGCTTCCCCCCGCCGAGGAGATCTTTAATCTCACCCGAGTGCTTCCTGCATTTCCTTTGTCATTTATCCTTAGGATGTGGAGCTAATCAGGGAATGCATCTCTAATAAAAATGGGATTGCTAAATCAGCTCAGCAGGTCCCCCCATCCCTCCTCCCTCCTCCAGGCAAGGTCAGAGCCCACAGGGACAGCCCAGCCCTGCCTCTTCCACAGCCTCCATCCCCTTCCTCAGCCCTCCTGGGTCTGGGGAGATGCTCCAAGCCCAGCAAGGTGTTTTGCTGAGAGCTGTGTTGCTGCAGGGCCCAGGTCCCTGATAACACAGGCAATTAATGGAAAAAATCAGCAGGGGTTGGTTGTGTTTACAAGCTCCTCATTAAAATTGCAGCATGTTGTGTTGGTTTTTTTTTTTCCCTGTAAAGTCTTTAAAAGGCTTTTCTTTTTTTTTCTTTTTTTTTTTTTTTCCCATTAACATGAATTTCATAAAGGGTATCTTTAGATCAACATAATTCTTTGAGGCTTTCCTGATAGGAAAGCTTTTGAAAAGTGGGCTTAAAATTTAATAAGAGCTCTGTGGTGCCTGTGTTTGTTGCCCATGGAGGTTCCTTCACCCCAGGCACCCCCAGACTCGCAGCACAACAGCTCCCCTGGTGCAGCAAGCTTGGAGCCTCCATCAAAAGATGGTCCATCAGCTCAGAGCATCCTGTGTGAAAAATGCATATTTTATGATTGGCTTTTTGCAAATATTACAATGAATATTGTATGTGTAATGTTAGAGGGTTATGCTGTATTAATTCTTTTAAGTAATGTGTTAAATATATTTTTAGGTTATAACACAATATTAAAATAGAAACTATGCTATGTAAGATACTTTTTAACTAGCTCAAAAAAGAGATGAGATATCAAGAAATTCTTTGCACAGAGATAACAGCAACAGGGCACATAAAGAGTTGCAGCCTCCTTATTGGAAAAGACATTCTTCCACCTTCTCTCTGTCTTTATGGAACCACCAGGATTAAGGGGAAGAAGTTGACAAAAACCAGAAAAACTCTTAATTTGCAAGGAATTTATGCATCATGTATCAGATATCTGAATATGCAACAGCTTAGTGCTTTTAAGGGTTATTCCTTTGCTCCCAATGCATGTTTTTGGCAGCTCAGTGCCCAAAAACATCCAAACATGCATAATTCTTTGCTTTTTATTGTCTTGTAATTGTCCTAACTCTAAATTTTTATTACTCTAATTGTATTACTATTTTTATAACCACTTTATTATTATTAAACTATTAAAAATTCTAAAAACTAGTGATGGGAATTTTTCACACCTTTCTGTGGGTCACTGCACCCCTTCCTCAGCTCAGCCCTTCCCTCTGCTCCAGGTATTCTTTTTGCCTCCAGTGCAAGTGAGGGAAGAGCATTATCTAGTCTAGAAAATGTAATTTTTCCAGAGTTTTAAGGCCAGTTCTTACACATCGGGTGGGCACAGGTTGCTCACTGGACACCAGAGCTCCAAGGTTCAGCATTTCACCAGCAGGAGCTTCATGCCCATCTCCAGAAAGCCATTCCCCTTTGTCCTGTCACTTTATCCCTTGTGCAAAGTCCCTCTCCTGAGCTGTGGATATCCTGGAATGCTGCACTTTGCATCTCCATGTGACAACAAAATCATTGTGGGTTTTTGGGGTCGGGAACCCTGCTCTGGGGACATCACCCAGTGGGCCTGGCAGCTCCCATGTGCTGGAGTGGAGCTCAGCCCAACCCTCAACCAGCACAGGCAGGGAGATTCACGAGTGTGAAATGAAGAAAAATCCCATTTACCGGTGCCTTAAAATCAAGGGGATTTATTCTTTGTGGAAAGCTGCCCTCTTTTCTCAATGCTCTCAGTCCAAGGCAGTAAGAAGAGACCTCTGTGATTCACATTAGCATTAATGGGAGCTGAGCATTTAAATCTCTCTGTCCCCAGAGCACTCAGGGGGGAATCTGTCCTCTCTTTGTGCTCACTAATAGCTCCAGAACCCTCCTCCTTCCCAGGCTGACAAAGGGATTTCTGTCACTCTGATTCTGCCTTGTCCCAGCCCAGGGATGAGAGCAGAAGGATGAAGGCTCAGGAGAGCTGAGCAGGCTCCAAGAAACAGAGAAAAGCATCATTTTAACTCTGCATCGTCAGAAGTGCTCTGGTTTTCCTCCTGTACAGCCCAGCTGCCAGTGATGGAGCACATGAATGCTGACTGTGAGGTGAGGAGGGAGCTGGGCTGGTTATTTTGGAGGCACTGGGTGCTGGATGGGTGTGACAGCTCCATCTGGACAAGCCTCAATTCACTGCTGTTGGACACCAGCAGCGGTGAGGAACTCGGTCCTGTTTCACTGTTTGCAGGCTCTGTCACCAGGCAGGATCATAAAATCACAGAATTGCGGAAGTTGGAAAAGCGCTCTGAGATCATGGAGTCCAACAGCACTGCCAAGGCCACCACTGAGCCGTGTCCCCAAGTGCCACATCCACCCATACCCATTTATTTTAAATCCCTCCAGGGATGGGGACTCCACCACTGCCTTGGGAAGCCTTTTCCAATGCCTAACCACCCTTTCCACAAAGGAATTTTCTCAAATATCCAACCTGAACCTCCCCTGGAGCGACTTGAGATGGTTTCCCCTTGTCCTGTCCCTGTTCCCTGGAGCAGAGCCTGACCCCCCGGCTGTCCCCTCCTGGCAGGAGCTGTGCAGAGCCACAAGGGCCCCCTGAGCCTCCTTTGCTCCAGGCTCAGCCCCTTCCCAGCTCCCTCAGGAACTCTCCATCCCCTTCCCAGCTCCCTCAGGAATTCTCCAGCCCCTTCCCAGCTCCCTCAGGAATTCTCCAGCCCCTTCCCAGCTCCCTCAGCCTCTCCTGGTGCTCCAGACCCTTCCCAGCTCTGCTCCTGTCACAATCTGAGGTATTGATGATTCCCAGATTGTAAAAGTCTCTGTCTTTCTGCCCCACTGCCAAAGCAGAAGCCATAATTGGTCTGTGCTGTTTCAAGGTTGTTTATTCTGTTTATCTCTAACATGTTCTGCTGCCCTGCCGCAGCTCTGTCCTGCAGGGCAGCGTGTGGGGCTCTGCCCTCAGTGGGATGTTACAGACATTAAATACCACAAACTACCTGTGCTGGATTTACAATAACGTGCCAATATCTGTCACCTACGTTGGACAGTGTGTCCCCAGCCTGAACCAACAGA